CTGGCCAGAAGCTATGCGTGCTGGATTGGGCTTCTGTCAGATCGGCCGCCGCTCCTTCGACCTTGTCGCGTGCGGCGCGCTGCCGGGCCCGTCCGGGTGGTCGCCCCGAGCAGAGCTGCGCGCTTTCTTGCAAGTGCTTTGTGTTGCTATTCCTCCTGTAGAAGTCCACGCTGACCACTTGGACATGCCTCGGGGACTGGCGCGGAGGCCTGATTGGGGACGTTCGCCCCGCAGGCCAATCGCCGACGCATGGGGGGATATCTGGAGGAAGGTGCGCGACCTTGGCGGCATCAGTGACCACCTGCGGTGCTTCGCGTGGCTGGACACCAGACAGGCGACAGCTACGCTGCACGTGGCAATCGTCGGGCAGATCGCGCGGCCCGCAGGGGTCGAAATCCATTCGGTTTCGCGAGAAGCTGGCGAGCAGATGAAAAAAAGGGGCTTGCTCAAGTTCAAGGTATTCTTCGATGTTTGGTCCAGTCGCACGATCAGTTCTCGGGCAATCCAGGGGGGGCGCAAGACAACGGATAAGGCTAAGAAGGAGTTTCAGCGACCTGTCAACTTGTTCGACGGGATTCGACGTAACTTTCAACCATATCTTCGAGGATGGAGGTGCGCGGTGTGCACAAAGACAGTCTACTCCACTGCGCAGCGGGACAAGTTCGCTCGACGTGAATGTGCTGTCAAGTTGGCACAGAATCAGAGACTTGCGGCAACTGCGCAATCTTCTATTCCTGAGCCGACGCCGCCGCCTCCTTCCAGCGCGTCTGGCGCGTGCGAGGACAAGGCCCCTGCGCGTGCTTCCCTTGTCGCCTCTCTGCTTGCCGCTGCTGCTGGCGCTGCGGGGTGGGGGGCGGGGGGGGGGGGGGGCGTCGTCGCCGTCTCGTCGTCGGGCGCGGGGGCGGGATGAGTCTGAGACTAGAGGCTCTCAGGATCCCCCGGCTTTGATCTCGTCTACCTCGGCATCGACTTCAAAGCGCGCACGAGTTGGTGCGCCAGTCTCTGCGGCGGTGGAGGCGCCGTCGTCGCCGTCCTGTCGTGGGGGGCGGGGCCGGGTGATGGGGCCTCGAAGGCCTCTGGTGTGCGCGCTCGTTCGCCGTCGCCAATTCGCAGGATTGTGGTTGGTCGACCTTCTCGTCTTATGGGTGTCCTACAGACCAACGCGCAGGTAAGTGTCTCGCCTCAGGATTCTGAGGCTGTCCAGCGGGCCGTTGATGATTTGGAAGCTTCCCCGTCTAGGCGCTTTGCCCAGCGCGCCCTTCTACCTGAGGCCCCTCGCCGAACCTCCTCCTCAGCGCCTCAGGGGCGTTGGCAGCGAGGTTCGGAAGACTTCCGCGAAGGACCACTCATTGCCAGACAAGCTGCTGCCAGAGAGAGGGGCTGTGCCCCCTGCGTCTGCTCGCGGCCATCAGCGTTTCGCCTCGCCTGGTGCGGCGTTGATTTGTATGAGATGTGGAGGCATCTCTACTGGAGTTCTGTCATGTTTGCGCGCCCCTTGTCCTCCACCCCCTTGCCCGGCTCGCGTGCACAAGCAAGTCTCGCGCGTGAATGAGAGCAGTCGTCCTTCTGACAAGCGTCGGGGCGAGGATAGCCCCAAGGCCAGGCAGCTGGAGGTGGGAGATCCCGAGCTCCAGTGGATCGGGCTCTCATCCTTCGAGCCCGTGGCACTGTCATACACGTGTCTGTTGCAACTTCTCTGGTTAATGGAACTCGTTTGGCTTTGCCCCATCTCTTTCGTAAGGTGTACCAAGCGCCGTGATGATGTATTTTGCGGCGTGTTGTGTGATACTCACGCTTCGCGTGGCGCATCATCCAGCGCTCTCGCGCCGCCCCCGCCGTGAGCCCGTCCTGGGTGGGCGTTATGGGGGCGGCGGCATCTGAGGGTGCTGTGGGGGGGTCTTTTTGGCTCGCCAATTCTGGCGTGGCCGTTTACGCACTGCGCGACGGACTCCGTGTAGACCGCTACTACCACCACTACTGCCATGACTACTACTACTACTACTACTACTACTACTACTACTACTACTACTACTACTACTACTACTACTACTAGTACTACTACTACTACTACTACTACTACTACTACTACTACTACTACTACTACTACTACTACTAAGACTACTACTACTCCTGCTGCCACTGCTACTTCTACTGTTACTGCTACTACTATTACTATTACTACCTACTACGACGACTACTACTACAACTACCACTACAGCTACGAGTGCGACTACGACTACGACGACTACTACAACAACTACGACTACGATTGCAACTACTATTACCACTACTACTACTACTACTACTACTACGACTACCACTACGCCCACAACTGAATACAGTGGTGGGCGGTAGTCGTAGTAGTAGTGATAGTATTGGTAAAGAGTAGTAGTAGTAGTCGTAGTAGTAGTAGTAGTGGTATTAGTAGTAGTTGTAGTAGTAGTAGTTGTAGTAGTAGTAGTGGTAGTAGTAGTAGTAGTAGTCGTAGCAGTAGTAGTAGTAGTGGTAGTAGTAGTAGTAGTAGTAGCAGTAGCAGTAGTAGTAGTAGTAGTGGTAGTAGTAGTAGTAGTACAGGTAGTGGTCGTAGTGGTAGTGGTAGTGGTAGTGGTAGTAGTAGTAGTAGTAGTAGTAGCAGACGTAGTAGCAGACGTAGTAGTAGTAGTAGTAGTGGTAGTAGTAGTAGTAATAGTACTAGTAGTATTCATAGTATTAGTAGTAGTCGTAGTAGTAGTAGTAGTAGTAGTAGTAGTAGGAATGGTAGTAGTAGTAGTAGTAGTAGTAGTAGCAGTGGTAATAGTAGGACTAGTACAAATAATAATATATGTGGTGGTAGGGGGGGTAGTCGCGATGGCGGTAGTAGTAGTAGTAATAGTGGTAGTAGTAGTAGTAGTGGTAGTAGTAGTAGTAGCGTTAGTCGTAGTAGTAGTAGTAGTAGTAGTAGTAGTAGTAGTAGTAGTAGTGATGGTAGTAGTAATAATAGTAGTAGTAATAAAAGCCGCGGTAGCAGTAGGAAGACATAGTCGTGGAGGTGGTAGTCGTAGTGGTCGCGATAGTAGTAACAGTAGCCATCGTGGTAGTACTAGCAGTGATAGTAACAATAGTAACAATAGTAGTAGTAGTAGTCTTAGTAGTAGTAGTAGTAGTAGTAGTAGCAGCAGCAGTAGTAGTAGTAGTAGTAGTAGTAGTAGTAATAGTACTAGTAGTAGGCGTGGTAGTAGTGGTGGTAATGGTAGTAGTAGTAGTAGTAGTAGTAGTAGTAGTAGCAGTAGTAGTAGTAGTCGTCGTCGTCGTCGTCGTCGTCGTCGTAAGTCTGCGAGTACTGTTGACAAGCATATCTACTACAACCAACTGAAAATATCGTGGTTGTATTAATCGCAGTAGTCGTCGTCGTCGTCGACGTCGCCGTCGTCGTGGCGAGCGAAAGTATCAGCTATAGTAGCAGGTGCACTTGCAACAACATGAATCGTATCAGCGTTAGTCCAAATAACAAGAGAAATGTTACAATTAGTAGCAAGACCAACCGTGATAGTAGTAAACGTAGTAATACTAGTAGTAGTCGTAATAATAGTTATGGTCGTGGTAGTAGTTGTAGTAGTAGTGGTAGTATAAATTGTCGTAGCAGTAGTAGCAGTAGTAATCGTAGTGGTAGTATTGAGCGTCGGTGATAGTAGTAGTCGTCGTAGTACTAACAATAGTAGTAGTAGTAGTCGTATCACTCGTAGTAGGAGTCGTAGTAGCAGTGGTAATACGAATCGTATACGTAGTAGTAGTAGTAGTAGTAGTGGTAGTAGTAGTAGTAATAGTAGTAGTAGTAGCAGTAGTAGTAGTAGTAGTAGTAGTAGTAGTGGTAGTAATAGTAGTAGTAGTAGTAGTAGTAGTAGTAGTAGTAGTAGTCGTAATAGCCGTAGTCGTCGTAGTAGTAGTAGTAGTAGTAGTAGTAGTAGTAGTAGTAGTAGTAGTAGTAGTGGTAGTACTAGTAGTAGTAGTAGTAGTAGTAGTAGTAGTAGTAGTAGTACTAGTATTAGTATTAGTAGTAGTAGTAGTAGTAATAATAATAATATTACTAGTACTAGTAATACATTGAAGCAGTCGTAGTAACAGTAGCAGTGGGCAGTAGTAGTAGTAGTAGTAGTAGTAATAGTAGTAGTAGTAACATCAGTAGTCGTAGTAATACTAGTAGTCGTACTCAAACTAGTACTAGTAGAAGCCGTAGTGGTAGTAGTAGTAGTAGTCGTTGTAATAGTAGGAGTAGTGGTAGTGGTAGTGGTAGTGGTAGTGGTAGTGGTAGTAGTAGTAGTAGTAGTAGTAGTAGTAGTAGCAGGAGTAGTAGTAGTAGTAGTAGTAGTAGTAGTGGTAGTAGTAGTAGTAGTAGTAGTAGTAATAGTAATATTAGAAATAATAATAGTCGTCGTAGTCGTAGAAGTCGTAGTAATAGTAATAATATTAGCAGTAGTAGCCGTCGTAGCAATGATACTAGCAGCAGCAATAAAGGGGTCGGGCTATCGGTAGAGAATCGTGATTGCAAGGGCAATGGTAAGAACACCAATCGGAATACTTATCGTCGACGTAGAAGTACGGACGAGCCGTAGACTTTGCCAAGTGACAAGCAGAAACACCATCCACCTCATCCTGAACACGCGGGCACCGCACCAGCCTGCGAGCGCCACGGCACTCCCGGGAATACCACGTCACGCCTGTCAGCGCAGCACCGTGCCTTTGAGCACCGCGACATCACTTTAGGTCGGCCCTGTCCTCCTACAGGCGGATCTTGGGCGAAAGGTAAACCAATCGTTAAACTTCTCAAAAATGGGCAACCAGAGTAAAAAATCGTCACCTGAATATTCTTGTATAATCTTATTGTAGAGGAACAGGCACGACTTAAACATAACCGCAGGGGGTGTCGGACCACCCCCGTACGCTGCTTACCGTTGCGTGGGTGGGTGGAATTGGGCCATCTCCCGTGACGGACGTTGCGAAATCCACACAGAAAAAACCAGCTCCTCATGATGCTTCAGCTCCAGGCGCTTGCACTTCCCTTCGTGTAGGCGGAAGCTGGGGGGGCACGTCTCCTTCAGGCACTCGCTGGCGGGACACTCGCAGTGGCAGCTCGGGTTCGCCTGGGCGGCGTGCAGAAGGATGTGCGGGGGAAGCTTCTTGGAAGGGCACTTGGTGTTATGTTGCTCCCATCGCACTTAAGGACCACATCCCAGAAATAACTTCGAGCACCCAGGAAAGTATCGAGACAGTATCGAACGAGTATCGCCTCCCAGGGCCCGACACATGAAATTTTCAAATTTCGATACCCCTTGGTGCTCGAACTTCTTTTTGGTAATCCAGGCTAGGGTAAGTTGCAACATCATAAACTTGGTGGAAGGAGCCGTCACAAACTCCCCCCTCTGGCGGTTTCGCGCGGATCTGTCGGGTCGGCGCTCAACCGTCCCTGGCATTGCCTCGGGCGTCGCCGCTGGTGTGGTTCGCACGCCGGGGGAGTGGGACCGACCCACGAGACTGACCGGAGCTCGAAAATTCATGCTCTGACGCAATCTCTTGATCTCTCGGCCGTCCCGAGGCTTCTCGGAAACCGAAGAAGGATCCCGGAAGGCCCCCTGCCTCCGCACAAGGCCGCCCCACTCGCCCACGCCCGATTCTGCGCGCCGCCGGACGCCGCGTTCATATCGTCGAACTCGAGCTTCATCGCTCTGCCGCAGAGCTTCTCGGACAGCGCGGCCGCCCAGGAGCGCGACAACGACCCGTTGCCCGCCACAGCCTGGACTTGTTGCAATTTCTGCCGCTGCACTGCTGCGAGGCTGCTGGGAGATCTCGCATCTGTATGCCAGGAAGCCGGAAGCACATGGGGCCCCCCGACGCATCGAGCCCAAGATGCGCTCGTTCTCATGACCAGGTCCCTGCGTTTTTGGGTCTTCCAGGCAGAACATGTGCCCAAAGATGAGGTCGGGGGAGGGACGTTCAATGGATCCTCCCCCCACTTCGGGGATCTTATGACCCGGGTCAATCCAGACCCGGGTCAGTCAGGCCTTGCAGGCTCCTGCAAGATTCTGCAAGATCCTGCACCCAAGCCTAGGCCAATGCGACCCTGGCGCTGCAGGATCCTGCAAGATCCGGCGCTCTGGCTGCCCCCCCTTTGCATTGACCCCCGTCTCTCGAGCCCCGACCCCTGGCGCCCGACCCGCCCCCGGCGCCCGCCCAAAAGATCGGTGGCAGCATCGCGCGGCGGCGCCACGGGACACCGGAAGCACATGGCTTGATTCCGGTGTGGGAGTTCTCTGGGAGGCCACGCGCTGGACGTGCAGAAGCCCGCCTCCCACGGCCATTCGAAAAAATGGCCGAGTTCCAGAAAGACCTGCTGCCGCCACGTGCGCCCACGAGGGGGCAACGCTCGGGGGGACTGGCCCAAGGCGAGACGGAGCTGCAACCTGGTCACGTCTCGCCGATAGGTCGGCGGCAAGCCCCCGAGGGCGAAGCCTCGTGCTCCCGGGTGGGGGAGGCCATCGGATTCCAGACCGGCGCTCGGTGGGCGATTCGGGGCAGATGCATCCCCGTCCAGCCTACTCTCAGGTTGGGCATGTCCTCCTACAGGCGAATCTTGGACGAGCAGCAAACAATCGCCAAACAATGCTCAAACATCTTCGAAAATACAAGAAAACCGTGCCCATACAGTGATTTGACTATTCTTGAATATTCCTCCTGTAGAGGGACATGCCCGACTTGAACCTGTTCCGTCCGAAGGTTGGCCTCGGTTTTGGGACACAACTCGGGTCCTGTGGCGGCCGGTCGGCACGATCCGGACAGCCCTGGGCGCCCCTCGGCGAGGCGCAGCCGCTGGAACGCACCCCGGGGCTACGAGAACGCACGAACACATCTGAAAACCTCAAGCACCACCCACCCACCCACCCTAACCTTGCCCCAGCTTCCTGGCGTGGACTTGGCCTGGGTGAGCCATCATAGGGGGTCTCTGTGGACCTCCGCGGCCTTAGCATAGACATGTTTTCGATTGGATTTCGTCCAGATTTCGACCACCCCTCTTCACCCGTGCGTCCAGATTTCGTCCAGATGTCGATCGACCATCCGACGAAATCTGCACGAGATACCCCCAACCACAAGGAATTGTGGGACCCCCCTGAGGCTCCCGTGAAGGACTACACGATCTTTCGGCGACAAGCGAGGGGGGGAAGTGAGAAGGGGGAGGTCTTCTCAGAAGGCGGCGGGGCTTCTCAGAAGCCATCAGGCAAAATCGAATCGGCGGAAATCGGGATGCTAGTAGGCCTCTATAGAGAAATCGGAGCCCAAGTCGGAATCCGAAGTCGAATCGAATCGGAATCGGACGCCATCGAAATCGAATAGGAGTCGAAATGAGCTGCCCGTGACGGCCTCGACGCTCATTCGACATTCATCGACGCTATCTCATGGACTCCCAGACGCTAGTCGACGCTAGCCACGCTGTCCATATCAAAACCATCGAAACCCAAGAAACCCAGGGCACACAACCCCTTATCATAATCTTTGTTGGGGCTATGGCAATGGGGCTATAGGGCTATAGGGCTATGGGGCTATGGGGATATAGGGCTAGAGGGCTTGGGCTATAGGGCTATGGAGCTACAGGGCTATTGGGCTATGAGGCTATAGGGTTATAGGGCTATAACGTTAGAGAGCTAGATGGCTAGAGGGCTGGAAAACTATAGGGCTACAGGGCTTTAGGGCTGCAGGGTAATTGGGCTACTATAAGGCTATAGGGCTATAGGGTTGTAAGGTTATAACGCTAGAAGGCTATAGGGCTCTAGTGCTAATTATAGGGCGATGGGGCTCCCGGGCACCCGGGCGGGCCGCCAAAATCGGCGACGCAGCTAACCTAATCATATGAATCCGCTAGGACCCCTACAGAGGCAAGCTCTAATTCGGGGAAAACCACATAAACATAAACCTTTGGCGCTCCTCGCGGATTTCTCGGATCCGCGCTGGACCTCCCTGGCGCTCGGAGCGCGCCAGGGGCGGCGCCGGAGACGCTGCCAGGGGGGCCCAGCGCAGATCCAAGAAATCCGCGCGGAGCGCCAATAGTTTATGTGCATGTGGTTTTTGCTTCGAGTGGCGGCCTCGAGCACCTCCCCGAGCTCGTCTGACCTGGAGCGCACCGCGGCGCCGCCCCGGGCCCACGCCGCGAGCAGCAGGGCGCGCCCCGCGGCCCCGCGCGGCCGCGGGGCGCGCCGCGCGGCCGGCGCAGAGGCCGCGGGGGCGGCCATCGCTCTCGCCGCGAGGGCCGCGCACGCGCTGCTGGCGGGCAGGGTGCGCTCGTCGGAGGAGGGCCTTCTGTTGACTACCTGGACCTCCTCGCGCTGTGAAAAAATCACGACGGGAGGTCTTTCGCAATGTTTTGCCTCTGGGGGCCCTTACCGGGCCTCGGGACTGTCAAAAAACGACTCCAGATGAAAAACCGGTCCCTGGGAAGGGGTCCAGACCTCTGGGGGTCGACGTTGTGAAACAAGTCACGACGTAGGGGATCTGGGTACCTACAGTCAACCCGTATCACAAGGATGCAAGGGCGTTGGAGGGCCATGTCGACACTTTGCGAGCGGGGCGATGCCAACGGAAGCGGCCAAGGAGGGTCCGAGGAGGCAAGGATGCAAGAGTACCCTCTTGGGATAGGTGCCCATCCTTACTATGCGGGTTGACTGTACCTACCAGACCACCCCAGCCTAACCTGAAAACCTAGATTTCGGGCTGGGGGGGTAATTACGGGTTCCACATGGGCTTCTGCAGTGTTCCCCAGCGCCCCCCCCCCACTGGGTGTGGAGGGCTGATGGGGGCCTTCGTGTTGGCTTGGGGCGGTTCGGTGAGTGGTGATCTGTGGCAACTCATGGGGGCCTCTCATGCCATCTCGCACTGACGTTACAATCGGCACGAACGGCGACGCAAAATCGACGCTTCATCGACGCTGATCGGCGCGAGATCGGCGCGTTATATCCTCGATTACTAGACGCACAAGGCTTCCATGATTTGCGACTGGAAGGGTCCCTTCCCCGATCACTGGATACTGGAGTTTTCCAGTCGCGACGGGCGACATCGGTCGGTACCAATTTTGCTTCAAATACTGATGGAATCGGTCGCGACAGATTGGCTTCAAAATCGGTCGCGACACATATGTTGCGATCGGTCGCGACATATTTTTGCGATCTGCCCCGACCTATTTGGAGTGCAGGTCGGTCGCTACCGATCGCGACCGAAAAAATGAGTATTTAATGCTTTGGGTGAGATCTGGGCGTTCCATGTTTTTACACCGGGCGCTGTCGCACGGCTTCGGGGCCAGGGGTAATCACCGATCGATCCGGCTCGGGGAAATCCAGCAGAACGATGGGGTCTAGGGATGGAGGCCTCCGATAGGGGGTTGGAGTACATAGGGGCGGAGGATCGCGCCGCAACGGCGATGTAACGGCGATGCATCCGCGACGTTGACGATGCATCGGCGCCGTCGGCGTAGAGAAACTCTGGCTCCACATCGGGCCACATCGTCGATGCAAAGTCGACCCCATTTACTCGAACCCCACTTGGGAGGCCTGGGGTCTAGAATTATGTTCCCATCGTGCTTAAAGACGGCATCCCACAACTAATGCCGAGCACCCAGAAAAGTATCGAAACAGTACATGCCCGACACGCAAACGCAGTGTCAAACGAGTGTCGCCTCCCAGGGTCCGACACGTGAAAACCCCACAATTTCGGTAATTACTGTTTTGGTGCTCGACTTTGACCCTGGTGATCAAGGCTTAAATGAGATGGAACATCAGAAGTCTCGAAATCTGGTCATAAATTCTCGCGATGTTGGCACTTTTCGTAACGCCGGGTCTCAGGGGCCGGCCAAGACAACGCTGACCCTCCCTGGCCCGCCTCGAAGACTGGGCCAGGGTGGACTCGGGAAGGAGTCCCGGTACAGATCCGAAGCGGACTTGGGCCAGGCGGGAGAGCCCCCGTGCTGTAGCCGCTGGCAGGTCTGCGCTGGATCGGATCGCGAGATCGGATCGGATCGACAGCGAGCCGTCCCGAAGCGGATCGGCATCGAACCGCCGCGCCCCACTTCCGGCCGGCCCTTGCCGATGCCGGCGAATGGAGCCGGATCGCATCGAGTCGGAGTCGCGGCCCCAGCCGGCGAGTCGGAGCGCATCGAGGCGGATCGTCGGCGGCCCTGACTGGCCCTCCTCCGAACGCAGCGAAACAAGTGCAGCACATGCGCACACCGTGGAGATCCGCGCGGGCTTCTGGGCTCGGCGCTGGACCAAAGAGGAGGAGGAGGAGGAGGAGGATGAGGAGGAAGAGGAGAAGAAGCAGGAGGAGGAGGAGGAGCAGGAGGAGGAGGACGCTGTGCCCGGAAATCCGCACGGACCTGGGGAAAGATGTGCAGTGCTGCAATCGTCTGTTCTTCAAATATTGCGGCAAACAACGTAACCAAGATTGGGCTTCTGACGCATCCGTCTGAGCCCGATTCGGCTATGGACTTCCTCCTCCTCCTCCTCCTCCTCCTCCTCCTCCTCCTCATCAGCAGCAGCAGCAGCAGCATCAGCATCAGCATCAGCATCAGCATCAGCATCATCAGCATCATCAGCATCATCAGCATCATCAGCATCATCAGCATCATCAGCATCATCAGCATCATCATCATCATCATCATCATCATCATCATCATCATCATCATCATCATCATCATCATCATCATCATCATCATCATCATCATCATCATCATCATCATCATCATCATCATCATCAGCATCATCATCATTTTCCGTCTCTGCCTGGTGTTTCTGCTCCTCGCCTTCCCATGCTCGCATGATCGCGTCCACTCTTCCTCTCCTCATCCTTCTCTCCCTCTTCCTCGTCCCCCTCCTCGTCCCGCTCACTCTACCCCCCCCCTGTCCTGAGGGGCAACGTGAGGGGGGACCGGCTCGGAGGGGAAACATCGACTGGAATCGACGACATAGCGCCGAAAGATCGGCTATGTTATACGACGAAGCCAGGAGGAGGAAACATTGGGGGGAATATACATAAAAAAATCCGCCGACCCTGTCGGCGTGTGTGAGGGGCTTTTCCGTTCGAGCCGTCATCTCCGTCATTCTTTGTACTCGTCGTCTCTGTCCTTCCCTTTCCCTGGGAGACCTCTTCCCCTGGGCTCCAGCCAAGCCGACCTTGAGCAACCTCGTAATTGAGTCGAAGGGAAGCCCCTTCCCTTTGATCCCTCCCCCGCCGGGAGGGGGGGGGGGTAGCGACCCCCCCCCCGGGTCAGATACGACGCCCCCCCCTGGGACTCCTCTTCCCCTGGGCTCCAGCCAAGCCGACCTTGAGCAAGCCCCTTGAGCAACCTCGTAATTGAGTCGAAGGGAAGCCCCTTCCCTTTGATCCCTCCCCCGCCGGGAGGGGGGGGGGTCGACCCCCCCCCCGGGTCAGACCTGGGACTCCTCTTCCCCTGGGCTCCAGCCAAGCCGACCTTGAGCGTAATTGAGTCGAAGGGAAGCCCCCCTTTGATCCCTTGTCGACCCCCCCCCCGGGTCAGATACGACGCCCCCCCCTGGGACTCCTCTTCCCCTGGGCTCCAGCCAAGCCGACCTTGAGCAACCTCGTAATTGAGTCGAAGGGAAGCCCCTTCCCTTTGATCCCTCCCCCGCCGGGAGGGGGGGGGGGTAGCGACCCCCCCCCCGGGTCAGATACGACGCCCCCCCCTGGGACTCCTCTTCCCCTGGGCTCCAGCCAAGCCGACCTTGAGCAACCTCGTAATTGAGTCGAAGGGAAGCCCCTTCCCTTTGATCCCTCCCCCGCCGGGAGGGGGGGGGGGTGTCGACCCCCCCCCCGGGTCAGATACGACGCCCCCCCCTGGGACTCCTCTTCCCCTGGGCTCCAGCCAAGCCGACCTTGAGCAACCTCGTAATTGAGTCGAAGGGAAGCCCCTTCCCTTTGATCCCTCCCCCGCCGGGAGGGGGGGGGGGTAGCGACCCCCCCCCCGGGTCAGATACGACGCCCCCCCCTGGGACTCCTCTTCCCCTGGGCTCCAGCCAAGCCGACCTTGAGCAACCTCGTAATTGAGTCGAAGGGAAGCCCCTTCCCTTTGATCCCTCCCCCGCCGGGAGGGGGGGGGGGGTAGCGACCCCCCCCCCGGGTCAGATACGACGCCCCCCCCTGGGACTCCTCTTCCCCTGGGCTCCAGCCAAGCCGACCTTGAGCAACCTCGTAATTGAGTCGAAGGGAAGCCCCTTCCCTTTGATCCCTCCCCCGCCGGGAGGGGGGGGGGGGGTCGACCCCCCCCCCGGGTCAGATACGACGCCCCCCCCTGGGACTCCTCTTCCCCTGGGCTCCAGCCAAGCCGACCTTGAGCAACCTCGTAATTGAGTCGAAGGGAAGCCCCTTCCCTTTGATCCCTCCCCCGCCGGGAGGGGGGGGGGGTAGCGACCCCCCCCCCGGGTCAGATACGACGCCCCCCCCTGGGACTCCTCTTCCCCTGGGCTCCAGCCAAGCCGACCTTGAGCAACCTCGTAATCTCTTGCTGCGCATTGCGAACAGGGTCGGCGGCACCGGCCGTCAGGCCTTCGCAATCTCTGAGACCTGGCTGCCCTGGACGATGTATCGGGCGCCGTGGCCCTCTCAGAGAGTTCCGGAACGCTCTGAGAGCATTCTGGAACGCTCTGGAAAGGGACTTATCCTCGTCCCGCCGACGATAGCGAATCCATGCGTTCCCGGGCAGGATGGGCAATCGGGGCCTGCTCGGCGATGGATGGGTGAACGGGGGCCGACGCATGCCTCCTTGAGCCCTTCCTCCCCTGACGTTGCCTCTGGGCTCACCTTGGGGCGCGACCTCCTGGGGGAGCGAGATAGGGAGGGGGAGGAAGAGAGGTGGGGGGGCGGAGGAGGAGGAGGAGGAGAAGGAGGAGGAGGGGGCGGAGGAGGAGGAGGAGGAGGGAGAAGAAGGGAGGGAGGAGGAGGGAGGTGCCCTGCTCGGGCCCAGAAGGCCCCCCTTCCGGGCCCCCCCAAGGGCATCTTTACTCTGCCGCCCTCGCTGCCCTCCAAGTTGTTATCGCCCCCCCGTCCACTGCGCGCGCCCGCCGATCTCGGGTCACACGTCGGCTCTCTGGCGGCCCCTCGGGGCTAGATCTGGGTCGGGCATGTGCTGCCAGACAGGCGGAGCGTGGACGAAAAATCAGACATAGCCCAAACATGCCCAAACAAATCAAAACTAGTACAAACAGCAAAAAAGTTTCCAAACGGCGTTTTCTAATGATCGATCACATAATCAATCGCAAGATTCATATGACTAATTTCCAAATCGTCCACTGATTGGGGTTTTCTCAGGTGTCAATTTGACTGTGTTTGAGCATTCGATGCCCGACCTGCACGCGCCCAGGACGTCCTCGGCGACGCGCAGCCTCCGGAGGCAGCACCCCTCTGAGGCCAGCGAGCGCCCGCCCCCTCGGAGGCGCAGCCTCTGGAGGCAGCAGCCCCCCCCAGGGCCAGAGAGCCGCGGAGAACCTACGGTCAGGTTGGGCATGTCCTCCTACAGGGGGATGTTCGACGAAGAATCAAACATAGTAACAACAATAATCAAACATGGTCAACGAACACTCAACAAAATCGACCCTGGACTATGTTTATGCTACTTTTAGATACTCCTCCTGTACAGGGACGTGCGCGACTTCGGCGTTGGTTTCTGACACCGCGGGGATCGTTCGGCCTTGAGCGATCGGCCGTTTCCGAAACGCCCAAGTCGTCCCGCATCGAGCGAATCTGGGTCGGTTGCGGCGTTCAAAGTTGAACGCCGCTGGCGGGGTCGCCGCCGGTCGACACGACACGAACCCACCGTACAGTCAACCTGTATCATAAGGATGTGCGGTAAGGATGGTGCAAGGGCCTCGGACGCCCATGTGAACGTTTTTCGAGCGGGGCGCAGCCAACGAAAGTGGCCAAGGATTGGCCGAGGCGAGGGTGCAAGGGAACCCTTAAGAGAATTGCCCACCCTTCCTATGCGGGTTGACTGTACGAACAAACGACCGAAAATCTCTTTTGCCCCCCTAAGACGAAGCCAGGACGAAGACAACATAGGGTGAGGTCAAATCGAGAATCTATGAGATCTGGCGGTTCTGGAGGATGTCTCGGGCGCCGCGGCCTTCTCAGAGCGTTCCGGAACGCTCTGCCAGCATTCCGGAACGCTGTGGAACAAATTGATCCTCGTCCTAGCCCCGTCCGAAGCACCCCTGAGGCCAAAAAACCGCGGAGAACCTACGAACAAACAACCGAAAACCTGTCTCACCCCCCCCTCGTTCCGCCCTCCGCCCCGTCTTAGGAGGCAACTACTGGGAGGTCTTCGTCGGAAGGCTTAGGGAGGATTGAGCCCCGTTGGGGGGCTTAGGCCGCGGATTGAACGGGGCTGAGCCAGCTTCAGCGGGGTAAAACCATGTTCAGCGGGATTTAGCAAGATTTCGAACCAAGGCGCAATCAGAATGTGACCTCCCGGGAGCTGCCGGGATGAAGGCGTGGACGACGAAACGCTGCGGATCGGGAGAGGGCGTGGGCGGTGCCCCCGCCAGGGAGACCACGGGGGAGACCACGACGAGCCCATCCAGACCGGCCACTGGCCCTGCTCCATCTCCTCACAGTCGGCCCGTATCATAAGGATGCGCGATAAGGACGCATGGGCCTTGGACGCCCATTTGGGAGCTTGTCGAGCGCGACCAACGAAAAGATGGACCGAGGAGGTAAAGATGCAAGGGAACCCTTGGGAAGGTTGCTAGTCCTTGCTATGCGGGTTGACTGTACAGTGGAGGTCAGTCCGCGAGAAATCTTCCACAAGAAACCCAACCCTGAGACCCCAGGGCGTCCATGGATTTTTGGTGTGGGAGCGTCACGCGCTCCACAGCAGAACCATCGAGACCTAAGCGCGCAGAACGCTGCTATCGCATCGCGCTCAGCGATCGGGGGGGCCCGATGAGCCCGCACCCAAGGGCACTCCTGCGAAGGGTCACTCTTACGTGCAGTCGCTGTACGCCGGGGGGAAGGCGTGGCTGCCGATACCCTTCTGGCTCGTGAGTTCCATCACCCCGCTGGGGGAGGGAGGCCCCGACCAGCCCTCCGGGGCGTATGCCTTGGGCCTCTTCCAAAGCCGTGCCGTCCTGGGCTCCGACAGGGGTGGCCCTGGGCACAGGCGGGCGACGACGAGAGGGGGCTTGTGCAAGAAGCCATGGCGACTTCACGCTGCGGCTTACGCGAGCTACAAGCGTGGCACGACACGTTCGGGGATGGACATAACCCCCTTCAGCAAAACGTGGTTTAGTGAAAACGACCTGGGGCCCAACCTGGCGGGCGCAAGCCTGGAAAACGACGGCCGCGGTGCCCTCTCGAGAACCGAAAACGGACGATTCACACATCGACGTGCCAACCCCCGACACGTCTGAAACGAGGGCGTTCCCGCGCGGCCTCGCGCGGGAACCTTACTATACGCGCGACTGCCCGCGCAATCGAATCCGTGTTCTTCCGTCGCCCAGGTGGTCTTGGGCACAGGTGCCCCAGCGAGCGCCAAGGAGGGATGCCTCGGCGGCCCCAGTGGCTCCCCAGGCGAGGCCCAGAAGGAGTCGAGTATCCGTTAGGGGGGTGGCAGCATCTTTTTAAATGTTCATTTGTTGTTTGTTATTTGTTTCTTTTTTGTTTATTGATTTGTTGTTTTTAAAAAGGGGTGGCATCAAATATGGGGGTGAAGAAGCGCGCAGCCTTCGTGCACCCTCTGGGCCCGCGGTGGCAGCTCAGGGGCCTCTCGGGGCCCCCCGAAGGCCACTCTTCTGCAGTCCCAGATCCCCCCCCCCACTCCTGGCCCCCCCTTTGCCGTCCGCCCGAACGAGACCCCCGAGGCCCCCAACAGGGTCCGGAAAGCGACGGACACCGGGGCCCAAGGACAACTTCAGCCCTTCCTCGCGGCCCCGTCGTCGGGCTTCGCGGAGCCAGGGCGACGAGGAGGGAGGAGGGAAATCCCCAGTCCAGGCGCAAGACTGCTGATGAGCCGCTGGCTGCGGCTGAAGCTAGCGCGAGCCTGAACAAAAGCAAGAACCCCCTCTCTCATTACATATATATATATATATATATATATATATATATGTATATCCATATATGTGCATATATATATATACATAGAAGTATCGATCTACAGATCATCGGCATATCGGGGAAAGAGAAAGACAGGAGGGAGAGGGGAGGGCGGCCCCGGCGGGCTTACGCACGCAGCCTCATCGGTGGCTGGCCCCTTTCCCACAGACGAGGGGCTGAGGGCCCGCCATGCTGCAGTAGCGCCTTGAGGCCACCGCTGGACGCGGCGCTCGTGCGCGACCCACCGTCGTCAGCGGGGGGGGGGGGGGGGCAGAGATCAGAGATTGACTGCCTACCAGACCACCCCACCCTAACCCGAAGACCTCAATTTCGGGTTGGGGTGGGTACGGGTTCCACATGTGCTTTGGTTGGCGACGCGAGATGCGATGCCCTTGCTTTTATCAATGCGGGGCGCCCCGCCAGCCCCCAGGGCCCCGGGGCCGGCGTTTCATCCTGCGTCGCTCGTAGACCTGAGACGGTCCTGGGCCTGGCGAGGGACCCTGGGAAGCCCAGAGCGACGACTCTCACGCACCTTGACTTTTCATGACGTTGGATAACTGAGGAGAAACGGCAACTCGGGGGCGGCAAAGAGGGGGGTGTCCAAGAGGGGGGGGTGCAGATCATGACCGGCGGCATGTGCGCGGCCCCGCGGGGTGGCCTGGGACGTAATAAAACAAGAAGAGGCGCCATGAAATCTGGGGAAATATCATGGCCCACGCCATGATATCCACCCCCCCCTAGTCATCACCCCCCTCTTTTCCGCCCCCGACATGAGGGACGAGATCGAAACGTCCCGGGCACGGCCGTGTCGCGCGCAGAAGGGCCTCGTCAGCTCGCCGCACCCGAGAAGCTGGCCAGTGCTCCTGGCGGGGACGAGGCCACACCCTAGAGGATGCGGAGGAGGAGGAGGAGGAGGAGGAGGAAGAGGACTAGGAGGAGAAGGAGGAGGAGGACGAAGAGAAGGAAGAGTGAGGATGAGAAGGATGAGGAGAGGAAGAAGAGGAGAAGCAAGTTGGATGAGGAGGAGGAGGAGAAGGAAGGGGAAGAGGAGGAGGAGGGGGAGGAGGGGGAGGAGGAGGCCCATCCAGGAGGAGGGGGATGAGGAGGCGACACCCCGCAGGAGGCCAGGCATCAAGGAGCTGGGGCGAGGAGAAAGCAAGGACAATAATGCAACACCCATCTAGCGCCTCTCACCCTGCAGTGGCAAAGAGAGACAGGAAACAGGACAGACAGGAGGCGATGGGAAAGATGAGACGATCAACCAACTGTCCATTCACAATCTTTTCCAGAGCAGTTCGCTGCGCAAACTGAAAAGGTGCTTTGAAGACTGTGGTCCAGCACGCGTGCGCACACCCCGTCTTTGCCAACCCCTAGGGCTGGGAGGGTGGGCGCCAGAACTCCTTGAGCCGCAGGGGCCGCGGAAGACGCAGGCATGGCACAGGGGCCCCGAGGACCTTCACTATCTTCCGCTCTGAGAGGCTCCTTGAGGTGTCGCAAAAACGTTTATAAACCAGGCATGCAACACCCATCTAGCGCCTCTCACCCTGCAGTGGCAAAGAGAGACAGGAAACAGGACAGACAGGAGGCGATGGGAAAGATGAGACGATCAACCAACTGTCCATTCACAATCTTTTCCAGAGCAGTTCGCTGCGCAAACTGAAAAGGTGCTTTGAAGACTGTGGTCCAGCACGCGTGCGCACACCCCGTCTTTGCCAACCCCATACCAACAAGACCCATACTTGTACCATGGCAGGCCTGTCGGGGCGGGTCGGGAGGGGCGAAGCGCGACAGTCTGCAACTGAAAGAAAGAAACTAGAACGGGCAGGAAGGCTCACATCACGCTGGGCGTCTGTGCTTCCGCAGGGCCACTCGAAGTTTCCTGGGAGGGCAGGGCCCAGGCGAAGGCTTCTCGACAAGAATAGCTGAGAGAACTTAGACCGGACTCGAAGGAGGGTGCCCGCCTTCTCGTATCGACGCACACTTTCCCGCGCCTTCCAGCGGCCACGGCGCTGGATTGAGCGTAGGTCCTCAAACTTCTCTAGTGCGTCTCGGCTGGCGCCGCCATGACGAAGGCAGTGCGGTGTAAACGTCACAGGCAGCTGCAGGCGACGGCAGGCGGCGCTGACGGCAGCCTCCAGCTGCGCGAGCGTCAAGCCTGCAAAGAGCGGCCCTGGGCCCGCACGTGCCAGCAAGATATCAAGAATGCTGCCTACGAAGCCCTGGCCCTTGGTGGCACTGCCCAAGAAGACCGTGTCATCGAACGTGTTAGTCTTCGAGGGGATTGGCTGTGTCGCTGGGGCTACTGTCACCGCCCACAGCCTCTGGGGTCCAGAGCGTGGCGGGCGCAAGACATCGGCGCCGCGCAAGTCCAGCGCCTCGGACGGCCGCAAGTAGCCGTCGAAGGCCACGGGCAGCAGCGCTCCTGCGAGCGTGGACTGGAAGTCGCGCCCGATGAGATCGTCCGCGACGGCCAGCACTGCCTCCCAGACCGCGGGCTCGCGGCTTCCAGGTGGCTCGAGACGGTCCCAGCCTTTGAGGGCCTGCTTGGCCTTAGGGAAGGCGTCACCCTTGGTTGCCCAGCCCTGCTGCCAGGCCAGCCCGTAGAGGCACCAGCGGGCGTTGGCCTTGGCCTCGCCGCCGAGGAAGAGCGACTCGAAGTAGCGTTCCAGAGTGGTGTCGGCCGCCCGCGGGTCTGAGAGGCTCCCCCCGGTGCAGGCGACAAAGTCGTGGAGCCCCTCCACGCAGTCGGAGTAGCGTGCCGCGGTTGCCTGGCGCACTGTGGCCCGCCGCAAGAAGCCGGGCGCCTGCTCTCGCGGCTCCGCCCGAGCTCGACGACCGCGGCCGCGCGCCCTAGTCCCAGCGTCTCTGGCAGCCGTGCCACGGCAGCCGGTACCTGAGCGGGCAGTGCGGGGCGTCGACTGCGACGCTGGGGCAGCCACACGCGGACGCCAGCTGTCGCTCCCAGCGGCGCTCGAGGTAGGCCTCCCCGTCTGGCCTTGCGGCCGCTGGGGGCGCCAGGAGCTGGGCGGCGCCGGCATTGGCGCGGCACAGGCTGGGCGGATAGGCAGCAGCTAGACTGGTCTTCCACTCCCAGCGTCCCTTCACCAAAACCTTGCCCTGCAGAACTTCGCAATGCCGACGGCACCTGCACTCGCGGGCCAGGGAGGCGAACAGCGGGTGGGAGGCCGCAAGCCTCGTAGGCTTCTGAAAGGGCGTCCCGAAGCGGCACTGGCACAGGTCGACCAACGTTGAAGCTGACGCCCGAAGCGCCCTCGCCAGAGGTCTCCACGTCCAGAGGCGCGACCGCTGAGGATTCTCGAGAGTGAAGTGGACCCCGGATCGTCGGCACTCCTGGATCAGGCGAACTGTGAAGCGAGCCGCGGCCAGTCCTCCCGCGGGTTCTGCGGTGCCCGAAGAACGTGCGATCGACCACCGCGCGCACGGGGTCGCAAGATGCATGAGCCAAATGGCGCCGGAGCGGACCCACCCGATGACAACCTTCTGGACCTTCGGGTCCGTGATGTCGAACTGCGGGCCCTTCGCGAGGTCCATGGGAGCCCCTGCACGCAGCCCAGCCTCCAAGATGGCCCCCGTCAGGTACCCCTTGCCCGAGAAGATCTCCAGGAAGAAGCGCCGGCCCCGTCGAGGCCTCTGTCCGACCTGACCTCCAAGACACGCTGGAGCGGGAGGAGGAGTGAGACCTGGTGGAGGACGTAGCTCGGGAAGGTGCCTTGGAACGTCGTGCCTGACCCTGGGTGGCGAAACTTCTTGATATCCAAGACGCTCGGGGACAGGTGGTAGTTCCAGACCAGGTGGGGAACGTGATCCAGGAAGAAGCCCCGTAGCCCGATGACTGGCTCTCGTTGATGGGTGCCCTGGAGGTACCTCGTTGGAGCTCCCGGTAGAAGGCTTTTCCAGAACAGGGATAGAGAGGCGGTCGGGAGGGCGTCCGGACGGAAGTCGGCCGCGCGGCCCTCGCCACACCTGGCCGGGCTGCAACAGCCCGCGGTCCGCCGCCCGACTCATGTAGTCCGCCGCGTTCCGCACCCCCTCGACGTGCCGTTGCCGCCACACGATGCCGGAGGCCAGCTGCAGCGCGGCCGCCCGCCGGCACTGTGCGAGGAGCTCCCTGCTGGCCGCGCGGCCCTTCTCGAAGGCCAAGACCGAGCCCATGTTGTCCCCTGCGGAGAGGAGCTCCGTGTCGTGGTACGGCGGATGACTGGCAGCTCGAGCCAGGCCCATCAGCCCGCAGCGCGCCTCGTAGTCGTGGATGCGGCTCGCATCCCGCCAGGCCCCAGCGACGACCAGCTCCCAGCGCCCGGGGTCGACGAAGTCGTCGGGCAGCGGCGGTGGTCGCCAGCCCGAGTCGACCTCGACTCGGCAGCGCTCCGGCACGGGCCCGCGGGCACGGCTCCGCTCGAGTAGCCCGTCCCACCAGCCCTCGCCAGCGTCGCCGATCGCCATGGAGCCCTTGAAGCCGTCGTGCTCGCGCTCCACGAACTTCTCCCGACGGCTGAAGCGAGCTCGCTCCCGAAAGCGGCAGAGATCGCGAACCTCCCCGGGCCTCGCATCGGTCTCCAAGAGTGCGTAGCCCTTCATGGAAGCGTCCGTCATGAAGGCGACGGGGCAAGGGGGCAACCCCCAGCGCCCCACCGCCATGAAGAGCAGCGACCTGGCGACCTTCAGCTCGTGCAGCGCGGCCGTCGGCAGCTCGCGGATCGTGCCGAGGTCCTGCTGGACAAAGTCGTACAAGACCCGGAAGATCGAGAGCCCTGGTCTCATCAGCTGGAAGAAGGACACCAGGTGGCCCAGAACAGCACGAATCTGCCAACCCGCGGCCTTGCGCCATCTCAGAAGAAAGGTCAAGCCCCCGTGCAGCCGCCAGAGGCGCTTCGGCTTGGGACGAACCAGGCCCTGCACGCCATCGACGATAACGCCCAGGATCTCGACCTCGATGCCCGCGTCCTGTCTCTCGTGCCACTTCAAACCCAGCTGGTCGAGAGCCGTCGTCATGCGCTCGAGTCGGTCCTGCACGAGGTCCTGCTCGATACCGATGATGTTGGCGTTGTCGACGTAGGGTAGATCCCCGACCATCCCCGGCTCCAGCTGGGCCGCTGGCGCCTTGTCCAGCACCATAGCGTCGCGAGGACCTGCCGAGGATCGCATCACCTGAGCCAGCGTCTCGTGGCAGATCCACAACGCCCAGGACCAGCCCATCGCCAGTCCGCCGTAGGCCGGCCACACGTAGTCGTCCGGGGCGACGTCCACGAAGGCCTTCGCGTCGCCGTCGTAGACCTGGTACACGCCTAGGTCCTTCGCCTGGACCCCCGGCATGTCGAACACGAACCACTCGGACAGGTGCGGGATCTTGAACTGGTGGAAGCCGTCCTTCAGGTCGACCGTGGCCGCGTACAGAGCGGCCTCGTCCGACTTCATCGAGCAGCGCTGTCGCCAGTCGGCCCCAACCTGCACCGACGCGAGCGCCTCCACTGAAGCCATGCTGGTCTGAGGGGGCAGCCGATGGTACTGGTTGGGCTGCCGGCCGTCCACGATCACGCGGAGGCGATCCCCTTTCTTCTCGACAAAGAACAGCCCCACCGTGGCCTTCTTCCGACGAGTAGCCACCGCGATCCCCATGTCGGCAAGACGCTTCAGCAGCGCGAGCAGGCGCGGGTGGTTGGCGCGGACCCTCGGGTTCAGAAGAGGATCCCAGTACGGCTCGATGTGGGGCTCGTCGGCGAGTTCGTCGGAGTGTCGCTCCAGGAACCTCTCGGGCTCCATCAAAACTTGTCGAACGTGATCTGGGACGAGGTCGAGCGCCTCCCGAGGCTCCACCGAGCCCTGCAAGAGGGAGACCTTGTCCTGAACGAAGGGCCGAACCGTGAGCCGACCCTCCTCGGAGTAGATGTTGCTGGACTTGAGAAGCTCCTGAAAGGCCTCTCGAGGCCGAGCGTCGGGCGGAGGCGGACCATGTCGAGCCACCGATCGAATCACTCGGCCAAGCGCGGACTCCTGCGAAGGGGTCAGCGTCGAAGTCTGGCGCACCCGTCCAGGCTGGAGGGTGTGTGACGCTCGAGCGGCGGCCAGCGCGTTCAGGCTCGAGAAGATGTCCTCGGTCGCCTGGCGCGTCCAGTCCCGCTTCGTGCGACGGCGAGCGGCGCGGCGGCCCGCCGGGCGCTCTCGGCTGGTCTCCTCGAAGAAGTCCGAGGGCAGCACCAGGGGGAAGGGGTCGGACGCCATGTCGACGACGTGCCCTTCGAGACAAAACTGTGAACAAAAATGTGGCGGCCGCAGAGCTGGTCCTTGGCCGCCTGGAGCCCTGCCTCCGGGGTGGAGGACGGGTGGAGCGGAACTTGCCGCCCCAGGTTACTTCTTGTGGCCGCCTCCCGCTCCGCCTCCGCCAGACTTTTTGGCTTCGGCGTCTCTCTCCTCCGTGTACAACCGAGTGTTCTTCATGATCACCGCCTTTGTCTTCTGCTCCTGGGCGACCCACTCGTCGAACTTGCTGGTGACCACTCCCCCCGTCTCGTCGAGAGCCGAGGCCAGCATGTCCTCCAAGCCCGAGTAGTTGGGATGCTTCGGGTCGCGCCGAATGGCACGCTGCATCTGCACGATCCTCCTCGCTATGAGCTCGGCCCCCGCCAGATTCGTGACATCGACCTGGTCGTACTCGATGAGGTGCCGCAAGGCCTCGAGCAGAAGACGGATCTCGTGCGCCGCGGCGCTGCCGGGCGGCACCCCGCTGCTGGTGACGTAGTGGTTCGCGTAGCCCGCGATGCCCAGCCCCGAGGCGCGCACACTGTCCAAGAACTCGGGCAACGACTTCGGCCCGCGGAAGACCCAGTCGCTGACGTCCTGCGGGCGGTGCGCCTCGATGGCCTGATCTAAAGTCGCTCGTCGAGGCCCACCTGGTCCCACCCGTCGGACGGGACACACCCGTGGATCTCGACCGGGCCCCGAGTGCTTCTCGTCCAGCCACAGCTGGTGTCGCTCCTCCGGCACGTTCTCGCAAGCCGCGAAGATCCCGTCCTCGTCGTTCCCGTCCAGCATCGCCAAGGCCACCGCCCCACGGCGCACGAACCTGTCCTCGGCCCCGCTGATCGCCGCGTCGATGACCTGCCCGAACTGTGGGTGAGCAGGGTCGGCCACCACCCAGCGAGGCGGAGCCGCCGCAGCGCCACGCGGCACCTCGATGCCGAGCACCGCCGCCAGCGCCGCCGCCTGCTCTCGAATGGCCTCGAGCTCCCCCTCCTCGAAGGGGTCGAACGCATACAGCTGGCCCACCAGCCGGCGAGGGAAGGGCGAGTTCCGAGGCAGCGGCACCACGCGGTGCGTGGTGAGGTCCCCGAACTGCACGCTGTGGTCCGGGGTGACCCAGATCCACTTGCCCGCCCCCGCCGGCACGAGCAGCACCCGAACGTGCCAGACGAACCCGTTCGGGTCGTCGAAGAAGTCGATCGCGACCTGTGCCTCTGGGATGTCGAGGCTCCGCGCCATCAGCGGCGCTTAGCTCGCAGGGAGCCGGGCGTCGCGGCCAGGCGCCCTTCGTCCTCGCCGGCCAGAGCGGCCGCTGGGCCGCCAGCGTCCAGCGCCAGGAGCAGCGCGTCGTCCTCGAGTGCGGGCCGCCCCGCCTGCAGCGCCGCGGGCCGGCGCAGCCCCCAGAGCGCCCCGACGAGCGCGGTGGCCAGGGCGCCGATGGCCGCCCCCGCGGCGAAGGCCCCCAGCGCCGGCCCAGGCACTGGGCAGCGCACCTCAGGGCAGCCCGGGCAGATCGGGCAGGTCAATTGCTCCGGGCCGCACCTGTCGAGTTGCCTGCCCAGCAGCCCGACGATCTCCGTCGGCACCGAGCAGTCTGCCACGCAGCTGCAATCCGGGCACCGCGGAGGGAGGAGGTATGGCGCGAGCGGGGCCACTGCCTGGAGCCCCCTGAAGGCCCAGTCCATCCCCCGCCAGAACTCCTTGAGCCGCAGGGGCCGCGGAAGACGCAGGCATGGCACAGGGGCCCCGAGGACCTTCACTATCTTCCGCTCTGAGAGGCTCCTTGAGGTGTCGCAAAAACGTTTATAAACCAGGCATATTCGTTTCACTACTAGTATGGAAGAAAAACCGGCCTTCTCCAAACCGAAACTGCGTTCAAAACGACAAAACGGAACTCGACACAACGTTGAACACGCAACTTTTAAGACGATACCGGGCCACGAGGCGTTTAGAGCAACAGCGAGGAGGAAGAGGAGGACGAGGAGGAGGAGGAGGCGGAGGGGGAGGAGGAGGATGAGGATGAGGAGGAGGAGGAGGAGAAGGAACAGGAGGAGGAGGAGGAGGAGGAGGAAGAGAGGGAAGAGCGAGGATGAGGAGAGGAAGAAGAAAAGGAGCAGGAGGAGGAGAAGGAAGGGGAAGAGGAGGAGGAGGAGGAGGAGGAGAGGAGGAGGAGAGGAGGAGGGGGATGAGGAGCCCCCACCCTGCAGGCGAGGAGAAAGCTGGGGCGAGGAGAAAGCTAGGGCGAGGCCAGGCATCAAGGTGGGGAGAGGAGAAAGCAGGGACTGTACAGGAGTGCTCGTAGAACTACTTGTATGGCTGTACATTTACGAAGGACCGGCCTTCAAACTTTCCACACAGAACCTGCGTTCAAAACGTGAAACGGAGCTCGACCCAACGTTGAACACCCAACGTTTGAAACGATACCGAGGCCAAACGCAACGAACAGCGACACGAGGCGTTTAGAGCAACAGCGAGCAACAAACAACGAAACAAAAACGAAACGACCAACAAGACAAAGGCCCAAGCCAAGATAAACAGCGTCGTGGTTGGTCTTTGCTTACGGGAGTACAGTCGCGACATGGCACAAAGACGCGTGTCAAGAACACGATCCCTGTCGCCGAAGGTCCACGGTCCCTGCGCGATGACGAGGGCGGGAATCGGTGCCACTATTGCCACGGTCGCCCGTGGGTCCGCCTTCCAGCGCGCGCGGCCTACCGCGCCATCTCTAAGAGGCCTCCTAGATGGAGTCGGCGTCTCAGGTCGTATCGCCTATGCATCGCCGAAGCCTCGACGATGCATCGGCGATGCATCGGCGACGTCTGCGATGCATCGGCGACGCCGGCGCGAGAAAATCGGGCTCAACATCGAGCCTCATCGGCGACGCAACGATGGTGCGTCGCGATCCTCCGATCCCATCTTCTCGGACCCCATCTTGGGCTTAGCGGGCCCCATTTCCGAAAAAAAATCGATTGAACCTGAGAACAACAAAAAACGGCCAACGGAAACTGCAAACGACACGGCTCCAAAATGGAACCAGAGCCGCCAACGGCAACAAAAACGGCGACGGCACGGGCAACAACCACGGCAACACGGAACCGGTAACAAAACACGGCTCTGCCGTTTCCAGGGTTAGGTCGGGCATGTCCTTCTAAGTACAGGCGGATCTTGGGCGAAACATGAAAAACAGGTCAAAGCATCATCAAACATGGCCAAACATGATCACAACACATCGTCCCAAGACAATTGTTTGACTATGTTTGAATATTTCCTGTAGATAGAGGAAAAAGAAGTATGCACATGCACCGATTCTGGCCAGGCCCATCCTGAGCCCAGGATCGGTGCATACGCCCTCCTACCGTGGCCAGGAAGGCATATGCACCGATCCTGCGTCAAGGATTTGCCTTGCCAAGATCGGTGCATGTGCATAGTTCTCTTCGCCCGATATGTTTGAACATTTCCTGTCGAGGGACGTGCTCGACGCAACAAAATTCTTGGGTGCCCGGATTCTCAGACCAGGCGGTCCTGGGAGCCTGCCTGCGCGAGCACGCGGCGCGACCTCGGCGCCACGGCCGTGGAGGCGCCACCGCGCGGCGTGCAGCAGGGCTGGACCCTAACATTGCTCTTCGCTTACGTCTGCCTGTTTTCCTGTACCTTCCCTGCGAAATGCTTAAGAAATCATGGGTTAAGAAATTCAGTCTCAAAACTTGAATAAAAACCCAACATTTCGATTCAAATCTTAAGATTTACATTAAAACGTTAAGAATAATCGACACTCTGACCGAAAACTCAAGTTTTCTTAAGCATCGCCTAAGGTGTACCTTCCCTGCCAAAGCGAAGAACAATACACGGCCGAAGTCCAGCAAAACAGCGTGTAGGTCCAGCCCTGCCGTACAGCAGGAAACCCACCCGACCAACAAAAACGTCCGAGGGATTCCCGCAAAACGAGGGAGGGGCCAAAATTAGTTCGGACGTGTGCTGCTACAGTTGAGGGGACCGACCGTCCTGACATCCCTATAGGCCTACAACGAAACGTTCTGAGAGCAAAAACAATGTGCTTAGAATACAGAACCGGTGTGTTAAAACAAGCCAGTCCCATGCAGACCACAAGAGGTTCTTAGAACATTCTTTGGTGGGCCTATATGCGAGCCAGGACGCTTCGCCACTGCTTGATACAGGCAGATTCGGGAAGCAAGCCACAAATAAACAACAGTCAACAACAAGGCTCAACAAGGGTCAAGCACATAGTCCCAAAACCGTCCCCAGGCTATTTTTGGACCCTCTTGGAATATTCCTCTTGTAGAGGGACGTGCCCGACATAGGGCTAAAAGGAGGATGGCGCTCCTCAGATCGGGGAGGATCGGAGGCTTGCAACCGGGCACCAAAACCAGCACCTGGGGGTTGTAACACAGTCGGATTCGATTGGACAGGACACGCGAGAGGACACAAGACCCTTCCGAGGGCCACATTGCCATAGGAATGCAGGAGGCATGGGTCCCGAGACACAAGACACAAGGGTACCCTTGATTTGGCAGGGCCTACTAATCCGGGCCGACTGTAGAAGAAGAAAAAACGGCATGAACATAAACTTCTGTCGCTCCGCGAGGACTTCTTGGATCTGCGCTGGGCCCCCCTCCCTAGCGCTCGGAGCGCGATTCCAGGAAATCCACGCGGAGCGCCAAAAGTTTATGTGTATGTCGTTGTTCTTCTTCGATATACAATAGGGGCCCGACCCCAAGCAACCTCCCCACAAGAAACCCAATCCTGAGACCCCGGGACGTGCATTGATTTTTGGTGTGGGAACGTCACGCTTTCCACAACAACACCATCGAAACCCAAGAAACCCAGGGCAAGAAACCCAAGACACCCATGGGTCTCCACTGCAAGACGAAGCCAGGAGGGGGCAACATCGGGCAAGGATAAATCGGGGATCTCTGGGACTTCGGCGGCTGGGGGATGCATCGGGCGCCGGGCCTCCCCAGAGCGTTCCCGAAGGCTCTCTCTCTCTCTCTCTCTCTCTCTCTCTCCCTGAGAGCGTTCCAGAACGCTCTGGAACGGGTTCTTATCTTTGTCTTGGCCCCGCCAACGGCTGCCTCCACAAGAGGAAGGTGATCCTACATTCTGGTGCTGGTGGCTATCTGTGCTGGTGTACATCACCGCCGAGATCGGGGTCATCCTCCCTCGGTGGAGGCACACCGCTGATTCTGTTGTTGGTGCCACCCTCTTGGCCTCCGAGAGGATCGAACAAGCTCCAGGACACTTCCCAGCCGTCACAAAGGAAGAACAATATGCATAAACATAAACTTTCGACGGTCCGCACGGATCTCTTGGATCTGTGCCGGACCCCCCTCCCTGGCGCGCGGAGTGCGCCCGGGGTGGCGCCGGAGGCGCGCCGCCAGGGGGGTCCAGCGCAGATCTGTAGTCAGGACGCGCTGTAAGGACGCAAGACCCTTCGACGGTCCTCGGACGCCCCAGCTGAAGCTTTTTGCTAGCGGCGCATTGCCAAACGAAAACTGAGGACAAAAGGGTGCCCTGGGGAAAGTGACCCGGGCTTACTGGGGATGCGAAAAGGTACAGATACCGCTGCCCCGCGGACCTTTCCCTGGGAGCGTTCTGACCAGAATTTCGAGGCGAACTCAGCGGTGGCGACGGGGGCCTCCCAGGAGGCCCAGAAAGGAAAAACGGGCGAAGGGTAGCGGCGTGGGTACCTTCTCTTCCTCTGACTTCCTATGCATTTTCCCTGCATGCGCATGCAATGTGTTATTCTTCCGCGTCAGGCCCGTGCAGAGCTCCTCCGCGCGGGGTCGCCCGGGTCCACCCCGCTGGCCAGGTACATCTGCGGCACGGTGGCGTTCCCGCCGCACCCGTGCCTGCGGCAGGTCACCGCCGGCCCAGCCCCCCCCCCCCCTCCCCAAGCGTCCGCGGCGCCTGCGAGCGGAAGACGCCCGTAGCGTTAAGTCGGGCACGTCCCTCTACAGGAGGAATATCCAAAATAGTCATAAATAGTATGAGGACGATGATTTGCCCACCATTGACCATGTTTGAAGATGTTTTGACTATTGTGTATCTTTCGCACAAAATCCACCTGTAGGAGGACACGCCCGACCTAACCATAGCGGGCCCTGAGATGCTGGCGCCGCAGAATTCTTAGGCGTCGAGCCCTTCGCGACGCGTCGGGAAGGCGCGCGGAAGGAAGGAGCGATTCTCCTCCTGATCAAGCTGGCAGCATGCTGCACTTACGGTGGGCAGGTTCTTCCATCACATGCTGCACGACAAGGAAGAGACTCCTCCCGAGCAGAGCTGATACTCTTCCGCTCGGAAAGCCAACACGATCCTGACGTCGGAGATCCTCTGGGCGATTCCGCCTGGTTTCGGGCCCTGGGATCATCACAGAGCGATCGGGCTCAAACAGGCCTGCCGCAGAAAGCAGGACCGAACCTAAACGTTGTGATTATTTTTGTATTCGTTTAGTGCTTCGTTTTGCTCTACCTGTTTTTCTGCACCTCCCTGTTAAAACGAAAAACAAAACCCAGCCGAAGTCCAGCAGCACGTTTAGATCCAGCCCTGGTAGAAAGATGGTCTGGAAGGCTCCGGTCGGGATGCTCCCTGATGCCGCAATGGCGCGACGTGGCTTCTGGGGCGGAGCTTCTCCGAAAAGCCCGCCCCGCTTCTACCCCCGGGGGACGTAAGACTCGGGTTCGGGGGACTCGGGCTGGCCTGACTGGGCAGCATGAAAATGACGAGCCCCAGCCCGAAACTTGACGCGAACTCCCGCTGCAAACATCCTACACGACAACTGGACCGTCAAAACATCTAGGACAGGCTCGTCAAGAAGCGTCGGCAAACCCGAGTTCCGGCGCACTCGAGTCTTTGGTTCCCAGATTTGATTTACGTGAGCGTTCTTTAATTTGGCGTTTCGACATTGGGAGGCAGGGGGGTGGGGAGGAGGGGGGGGTCTGCCTCTGGACCTCTGCTTAGTGAGCCTGTTTGCAGAAGTGCGTCCATAAATTATGGGGGGGACTACACCTGCTTGAAACATGGGGATCTACTCCATTGCCGGGGGGGGGAGGGGGGGATGCGAGGACCCGCGCCGATCGGCAAACGCCTTCTACGAAGGCCCCCGCCTTCCGAGCAGCTCCTCCGCCTTCTCGGTGTACGCCGCCCTCCTCGCGCCAACCCTGTATCCTATATGGGAGCCGCCAGCTGCGAGCATCGTGCTGGGAAAATGCGCGCGCCGGCTCTCCGTCGCCCTTCTGACCTCCCTCTCTCTCTCTCCCTCTCTCTCTCTCCCTCTCTCTATATATACTCTCTCTTCTCTCCCTCCCTCTTGTTTTTTTTTTTTTTTTTTTGTTCTCTCTCTCTCTCTCTTTTCTCTCTCTCTCTCTCTCCCTCTCTATCCCCCTCTCCCTCTCCCTCGCCCTATCTCTTCTCTCTCCCTCTCCCTCTCTCTCTGTCTCTCCCTCCTTCCATCTCTCTCTCTCTCTCTCCTCTCTCTCTCTCTCGTTTCTCTTCCTTTCTCTCTCTCTGTCTCGGCGATCACTAGAAGGTGCATTGGAGCTAATGGCGACGCCTCAATTCATCTGAGTCCTGGTTCGCTGGGGCTTGTTTCGCCCGAGTTGATTCGCCTGGCTCGGTTCGCTGGGACTCGGTTTGCTGGGGCTCGGTTCGTCCGACTCGGCTCGCTGGGGCTCGTTTCGCCGGGGCTCGTTTCGCCAGGGATCGTTTCGCCAGGGCTTCTTTCGCCGGAGCTCGCTTCACTGGGCACGTGCAAGGTCCAAACGAGAGTGAGGAGGGCGGAGCAGGCGGGGGGTGTCCCAACCAACGGGCGAATCGGTTCGCGAGGCGGACCCTGACGGGCGGTACGGGTCGGGCGGGCGGGACTTCCAAAGATGACGCACCCTCGAGCTCGCACGCGCGAGCCCTAGCTGGCGGGTCGGGTCGGGTCGGGTGGGTGGACCCTAACGGGCGGGTCGGGTTGGGCGGGCGGGACACTGCAGTATAGCTGGCACGCGCGAACCCAGATGGGTGTGTCGGGTCGGGCGGTCGGACCCTGACGGGCGGGTCGGTTCGGGCGAGCGGATCCTGACGGGGGTCTCACGTCGGGCGGGCGGAGCTGGGCGAATCGAGACTCGGGTGAACTGAACCTCGGCGAATCGAGCCGGGCAATTCCAACCCCGGGCGAATCGAGCCGGGCGAATCGAGCCTGGGCGAATCCAGCCTGGCGGAGCGAGCATGGAGAAGCAAGCCCGGGGAAGATCGAGCCTGCGCCGTGCGACCGTGTGCTTGTCCACCCGAGCCAGTTAATACGACGCAGGCGGCGTAACTAGTGCCAACACGGGCTGTGTGCTTTCGATGGAGATGAGACCGGTAAACACTAGTCTAGGCCTCCCGGATGGGGTCCGTGCAGACGGGGTCGGGGGATCGCGCGGCATCGGCGATGCATCGGCGATGCAGCTCGATGCGGAGCTGATCTCCTCCACGCCGGTGCATCGCCGATGCACCACTGACGTCGCCGGTGCATCGCCAGTGCGTCGCCCATGTATCGGCGATGCATCGACGATGCGGCACGGTCCTCCGACCCCATCCAGGGGGCCTTGAAGCGCACGGTGGGCCGACACTTTTTGGGCCTGCGTCTCCCACGCCGGGCAGGGCTGGAGCTATAAGGTTGTTTTTCGTTTAGTTTTCGTCTTGCTTTTCGTTTTGCTCTACATGTTTCCCGTTACCTCCCTGCCAACACGAAACACAAAGCACAGCCGCAGTCCAACAGAACAGCAGTTGGGTCCAGCCCTGTCGCCGACAAAGCACTGCACACATCCGAGCGATGCCAGGAGAACTTCAGCACGTGCCTGGGACGGGGCTCGCGCTCACGACGCTGTAGAGCGCAGGCGAGCGGACCAGGGGGCACAGCCTGTGCCATGGAGTGGAGAAGCACGCTGGGCTGACGCGCGACCCCGGGTGCTTCGGCTCCCGCCCTCGCCCTCCCTCCCTCCTCCCCGGCAGGGGAGGCGGGCGGACACGAGGCCCGCGGGTCTGCACCGCATGACTGCACCCAGGTCCCCAGCGTCCTGACACTTCGCTTACGACATGGAGCCCTGCCCGGATCATCGGATACCAAATTCTGCTGGCCGCGACCAGCGAAATCAATCGCTGCCGATCTTTCGGTCGCGACCGGTTTGCTTCAAAATCGATCGCAACCGACTGGTCGCGAATCACATGATCTGGGTGTAGGTCTCCACCCATTCCCTGGGACATGCGAACGTGCGTCTGACGACAGAGAGGCTCAACGACAAGACGAGAGACAAATTCACGACAAGGAGAACGCGAAACAAGAAGGCAAGCGCTCTCGACTGCGCTCGCCCCTCGCTTTCGCTCGCTTACCGCTTTCGCTCGCCTGCCACTCTCGCTCCCCTCGAACTTCCGCTTGCCTCCTGGTTTCGTTCGCCTCCCGCTAACGCCCGCCTCCCGCGTTCGCTCGCCTCTCGATTCTGTCGCCTGTAATATTCGCACGCCTCCCGCTTTCGCTCGCGCGTTTTCGGACACCTCCCACTTTCTCTCGACTCCGATTATCGCTTGCCTCCCGCTTTCGGTCGCCTCCCACTTTCGCTCGCCTCTCGCCTTCGTTCGCCTCCCACTGTCGCTCGTCTCCCGACTGTTTCGCCTCCCGCTGTTGATCGCCTCCCACTACTTCTCGGCTCCCGCGTTCGTTCGCTCCCCGCTCGTTCCACTGCCGCGTTTGCTCGCCTCCCACGTTACTCGCCTCCCTCGTTCGTTCGCCTTCCGCATTCGTTCGCCTCCCGCTGTTGCTCGCCTTCCGCTTTCGTTCGCCTCACGCTTTCGTTCGCCTCTCACTGTCTCTCGCCTCCCGCTTTCGTCCGCCTCCCGCGTTCATTCGGCTCCCGCTTTCGATCCGGTCCCGTGATGGTTCGCCTCCTGCTGGTGTTCGCCTCCCGTTTTCGCTCGCCTCCCGCTTTCGCTGGCCCCCCGCTTTCGTCGGGAAGCGGTCAATAGCAGGAGGCGAGCGAACACGGGAAGCGAGCGAAAGGGTCAGGCGAGCGAAAGCGGGACGCGATCAAAATCGGAAGGTGAGCGAACGTAGATGGCGAGCGCCAATCGGAGGAGAACAGCGGTGGGCGGCGAAAATGAGAGGCGATCGAAAGGCGAACGGAAGTGGGAGGCGAGAGGCGAGCGAACGTGGGAGGCGAGAGGCGAGCGAGAATGGAGGGCGAAGGGCGAGCGACAGCGGAAGGCGAAAGTGGGAGGGGCGAACAGGTGAGAGGCGGAGGGTGGAAGGGCGATTGTGGGAGGCGAAAGGCGAGAGCGGGAGGCGGCCCGAAAGCCTCCTCCTCCTCCTCCTCCTCCTCTGTGGGAGACGAAGCGAGAGTGGGAGGCGAAAATAGGAGGCGAAGCGAAACGGGGAGGCAACGTGGGATAAGCGAAAGTGGGAGGCGAGATCGCCTCCCGCTTTCGCCGTCGCTGTCGTGAACTAGTCCCACCTTGTCGCGAATTCGTCTCAGCTTGTCGCGAATCTCTCTTGTCGTGAGGAAGGGCTACCTTTGGCCCGAAGCCACGTCGCCGACGTAACGGCGAGGCAGAGGGCAGGCAGAATGCGAACCTCCTGCCTCCCTCCGTCCCTCCATTCACCGTGTCTGCCTCCCGCCTTGTCTATCCCTAACCTCCCGATTCGCTTGCTTGTTGTTTTGTCTTGGTCCTGCGACGCCAAAGCTGTGCCCCGTCAGCAGAACGAGTAATGCAAAGGCCGTGCAGCTGTAAGTTACTGCCAACAGGCATCAAACACAAATAATCGTGCCAAGCAGCAGCGCAATTTCCGAGGCGGTCTGATTGCAGCCTTCTGCGCACGCGGACCTCAAAAGAAACAGTCAACACAAATTCGTGCCAGGCAGGAGTGCAGTCTCACACGCAGGCAGTCTCACTGCAGCCTTCTGCTCGCGCGGCCCGCCTTGGGCTAACCTTCAGGGCCCGCAGATCTCGACGAGAAGCTCTGCCAGAAACACCCCTGGGGAGCTCGATGGAGCGAACGTGCTACCCGCGTCATGCTCCTGCGCCGCTGTGGCGACAACTGTGCGACGAGCAGGAACTTCAAAACACGACTCCCATCAAATCAAGTTCTGGAGCCGGCGGGCACCTCCTGAGAGCTCGCAGTCCACGTCAGATTCGTCATTGCCGGAGCACGTGAAACTGGCGGCGGCCCATCTGCCAGACGCCAGGCTGTATGTCACAGGCGGCAACCTCAGCACAGGGGCAGTGCCCCACTGGAGGTACACGAACGTCATGACCGTGTGCCCCTCCTCGATGTCGGGGATCGACGACATGTCCTGGCACGACTGCTCCCCCGCCGTGGACCAGGGCGCTTGTGCCCCAGATCCCATCGGTGGGAACTGCGCAGTGTCTTGCATCTTGAAGCTCAGCACAAACGCCCCGCTGTTCTCGATGCAGATCTTCGCCGCGGACACAGGCTCGGCTCCCCGAGCGAGCCCCAGAGAGGCCGCGGCAAGAAGTACCGCGGCAACCCCCGGCATCTTCGGACCACCTGGGCGATAGGCTGACACCGGGAGGGGAGCTGAAGCCAGCGCGCAGGTGAAGCAATGGGCCAGAGCGGCTTGAGCCAAAGGTGTCGTCCCAGAAGTGCCAAACCCCTTGCCTCGTGCGTTGCCGGCTGGGGCCCTGACAGACACGAAGCCCGGCCGGCCGCTCAGCAGCTCTCAGACAGGGTCTATAGCGGGTGGCGGAACAAAGGGAACGACCCCACGCGTGGCGCCCAAACCCGGGCCAGCCAGAGGGGATTGGCTGAACACCGTTAGCGCCGACCCGCGCCGACCCCCGTCACGTGAGCCCCGAATCTCGAATCTGGGCAGTTGCGGCAAGTTCGTGTCGTGACGACCTCGGCCTTGGTTTCTGACACCGCATTCACCGTTCAACCTTGGACGATCTGCGGCCGTTCGACCGCCCCAGATCTCATCCCCGAGGTGCCGATCCTGGGCCGCTGGGCGGCGTTCAACACACCTCGAACGCCCGCGGCAAGGGTCGCTGCCGCCTCGGCACGACACGACCCGCATCATGGCCCCGGCTACGATATCCACTCCACGCTAAGTCCTCACCCCCCTCTTGGACGCCCCCCACCTGAGCCAGCGGGGAGGGAGGGGGGGGGGTCCTGGCGCCTGGGAGGGGGGGGGCGTCCTGGCGCCCCGTGGGGGGTGCCCTCTTGGGGCTCGCCTGCACTGTCTTGAGGGACAGCAGCAGGCCATCCCTAACCAGCCGATTCGCTGGCTGTTTTGTCTTGATCCTACGACGCCAAAGCTGTGCCCCGTCAGCAGAACGGGCAATGCAAAGGCCGTGCAGCTGTACGTTACTGCCAACAGGCATCCAACAAAAAAATCGTGCCAGGCAGCAGCGCAGTTTCCGAGGCGGTCTGATTGCAGCCTCCTGCGCACACGGCCCACACAAGAAACAGTCAACACAAATTCGTGCCAGGCAGGAGTGCAGTCTCATACGCAGGCAGTCTGGCTGCAGCCTTCTGCTCGCGCGGCCCGCCTTGGGCTAACCTTCAGGGCCCGCAGATCTCGAGGAGACGCTCTGCCAGAAACACCCCTGGGGAGCTCGATGGAGCGAACGGGCTACCCGCGTCATGCTCCTGCGCCGCTGTGGCGACAACTGTGCGACGAGCAGGAACTTCAAAGCACGACTCTCATCAAATCAAGTTCTGGAGCCGGCGGGCACCTCCTGAGAGCTCGCAGTCCACGTCAGATTCGTCATTGCCAGAGCACGTGAAACTGGCGGCGGCCCATCTGCCAGACGCCAGGCTGTATGTCACAGGCGGCAACCTCAGCACAGGGGCAGTGCCCCACTGGAGGTACACGAACGTCATGACCGTGTGCCCCTCCTCGATGTCGGGGATCGACGACATGTCCTGGCACGACTGCTCCCCCGCCGTGGACCAGGGCGCTTGTGCCCCAGATCCCATCGGTGGGAACTGCGCAGTGTCTTGCATCTTGAAGCTCAGCACAAACGCCCCGCTGTTCTCGATGCAGATCTTCGCCGCGGACACAGGCTCGGCTCCCCGAGCGAGCCCCAGAGAGGCCGCGGCAAGAAGTACCGCGGCAACCCCCGGCATCTTCGGACCACCTGGGCGACAGGCTGACACCGGGAGGGGAGCTGAAGCCAGCGCGCAGGTGAAGCAATGGGCCAGAGCGGCTTGAGCCAAAGGTGTCGTCCCAGAAGTGCCAAACCCCTTGTCTCGTGCGTTGCCGGCTGGGGCCCTGACAGACACGAAGCCCGGCCGGCCGCTCAGCAGCTCTCAGACAGGGTCTATAGCGGGTGGCGGAACAAGGGGAACGACCCCACGCGTGGCGCCCAAACCCGGGCCAGCCAGAGGGGATTGGCTGAACCCCGTTAGCGCCGACCCGCGCCGACCCCCGTCACGTGAGCCCCGAATCTCGAATCTGGGCAGTTGCGGCAAGTTCGTGTCGTGACGACCTCGGCTTTGGTTTCTGACACCGCATTCACCGTTCAACCTTGGACGATCGGGGGCCGTTCGACCGCCCCAGATCTCATCCCCGAGGTGCCGATCCTGGGCCGCTGGGCGGCGTTCAACACACCTCGAACGCCCGCGGCAAGGGTCGCTGCCGCCTCGGCACGACACGACCCGCATCATGGCCCCGGCTACGATATCCACTCCACGCCAAGTCCTCACCCCCCTCTTGGACGCCCCCCACCTGAGCCAGGGGGGAGGAGGGGGGGGGGGTCCTGGCGCCTGGGAGGGGGGGGGCGTCCTGGCGCCCCGTGGCGGGTGCCCCCTTGGGGCTCGCCTGCACTGTCTTGAGGGGCAGCAGCAGGCCATCCCTAACCATCCGATTCGCTGGCTGTTTTGTCTTGATCCTACGACGCCAAAGCTGTGCCCCGTCAGCAGAACGGGTAATGCAAAGGCCGTGCAGCTGTACGATACTGCCAACAGGCATCCAACAAAAAAATCGTGCCAGGCAGCAGCGCAGTTTTTCCGAGGCGGTCTGATTGCAGCCTCCTGCGCTCACGGCCCACACAAGAAACAGTCAACACAAATTCGTGCCAGGCATGAGTGCAGTCTCATACGCAGGCAGTCTGGCTGCAGCCTTCTGCTCGCGCGGCCCGCCTTGGGCTAACCTTCAGGGCCCGCAGATCTCGAGGAGACGCTCTGCCAGAAACACCCCTGGGGAGCTCGATGGAGCGAACGGGCTACCCGCGTCATGCTCCTGCGCCGCTGTGGCGACAACTGTGCGACGAGCAGGAACTTCAAAGCACGACTCTCATCAAATCAAGTTCTGGAGCCGGCGGGCACCTCCTGAGAGCTCGCAATCCACGTCAGATTCGTCATTGCCGGAGCACGTGAAACTGGCGGCGGCCCATCTGCCAGACGCCAGGCTGTATGTCACAGGCGGCAACCTCAGCACAGGGGCAGTGCCCCACTGGAGGTACACGAACGTCATGACCGTGTGCCCCTCCTCGATGTCGGGGATCGAGGACATGTCCTGGCACGACTGCTCCCCCGCCGTGGACCAGGGCGCTTGTGCCCCAGAGCCCATCGGTGGGAACTGCGCAGTGTCTTGCATCTTGAAGCTCAGCACAAACGCCCCGCTGTTCTCGATGCAGATCTTCGCCGCGGACACAGGCTCGGCTCCCCGAGCGAGCCCCAGAGAGGCCGCGGCAAGAAGTACCGCGGCAACCCCCGGCATCTTCGGACCACCTGGGCGACAGGCTGACACCGGGAGGGGAGCTGAAGCCAGCGCGCAGGTGAAGCAATGGGCCAGAGCGGCTTGAGCCAAAGGTGTCGTCCCAGAAGTGCCAAACCCCTTGTCTCGTGCGTTGCCGGCTGGGGCCCTGACAGACACGAAGCCCGGCCGGCCGCTCAGCAGCTCTCAGACAGGGTCTATAGCGGGTGGCGGAACAAGGGGAACGACCCCACGCGTGGCGCCCAAACCCGGGCCAGCCAGAGGGGATAGGCTGAACCCCGTTAGCGCCGACCCGCGCCGACCCCCGTCACGTGAGCCCCGAATCTCGAATCTGGGCAGTTGCGGCAAGTTCGTGGCGTGACGTGCCTCGGCTTTGGTTTCTGACACCGCATTCACCGTTCAACCTTGGACGATCGGCGGCCGTTCGACCGCCCCAGATCTCATCCCCGAGGTGCCGATCCTGGGCCGCTGGGCGGCGTTCAACACACCTCGAACGCCCGCGGCAAGGGTCGCTGCCGCCTCGGCACGACACGACCCGCATCATGGCCCCGGCTACGATATCCACTCCACGCTAAGTCCTCACCCCCCTCTTGGACGCCCCCCACCTGAGCCAGCGGGGAGGGAGGGGGGGGGGTCCTGGCGCCTGGGAGGGGGGGGGGGGCGTCCTGGCGCCCCGTGGCGGGTGCCCTCTTGGGGCTCGCCTGCACTGTCTTGAGGGACAGCAGCAGGCCATCCCTAACCATCCGATTCGCTGGCTGTTTTGTCTTGGTCCTACGACGCCAAAGCTGTGCCCCGTCAGCAGAACGGGTAATGCAAAGGCCGTGCAGCTGTACGTTACTGCCAACAGGCATCCAACAAAAAAATCGTGCTAGGCAGCAGCGCAGTTTCCGAGGCGGTCTGATTGCAGCCTCCTGCGCACACGGCCCACACAAGAAACAGTCAACACAAATTCGTGCCAGGCAGGAGTGCAGTCTCATACGCAGGCAGTCTGGCTGCAGCCTTCTGCTCGCGCGGCCCGCCTTGGGCTAACCTTCAGGGCCCGCAGATCTCGAGGAGACGCTCTGCCAGAAACACCCCTGGGGAGCTCGATGGAGCGAACGGGCTACCCGCGTCATGCTCCTGCGCCGCTGTGGCGACAACTGTGCGACAAGCAGGAACTTCAAAGCACGACTCTCATCAAATCAAGTTCTGGAGCCGGCGGGCACCTCCTGAGAGCTCGCAATCCACGTCAGATTCGTCATTGCCGGAGCACGTGAAACTGGCGGCGGCCCATCTGCCAGACGCCAGGCTGTATGTCACAGGCGGCAACCTCAGCACAGGGGCAGTGCCCCACTGGAGGTACACGAACGTCATGACCGTGTGCCCCTCCTCGATGTCGGGGATCGAGGACATGTCCTGGCACGACTGCTCCCCCGCCGTGGACCAGGGCGCTTGTGCCCCAGAGCCCATCGGTGGGAACTGCGCAGTGTCTTGCATCTTGAAGCTCAGCACAAACGCCCCGCTGTTCTCGATGCAGATCTTCGCCGCGGACACAGGCTCGGCTCCCCGAGCGAGCCCCAGAGAGGCCGCGGCAAGAAGTACCGCGGCAACCCCCGGCATCTTCGGACCACCTGGGCGATAGGCTGACACCGGGAGGGGAGCTGAAGCCAGCGCGCAGGTGAAGCAATGGGCCAGAGCGGCTTGAGCCAAAGGTGTCGTCCCAGAAGTGCCGAACCCCTTGTCTCGTGCGTTGCCGGCTGGGGCCCTGACGGACACGAAGCCCGGCCGGCCGCTCAGCAGCTCTCAGACAGGGTCTATAGCGGGTGGCGGAACAAGGGGAACGACCCCACGCGTGGCGCCCAAACCCGGGCCAGCCAGAGGGGATTGGCTGAACCCCGTTAGCGCCGACCCGCGCCGACCCCCGTCACGTGAGCCCCGAATCTCGAATCTGGGCAGTTGCGGCAAGTTCGTGGCGTGACGTGCCTCGGCTTTGGTTTCTGACACCGCATTCACCGTTCAACCTTGGACGATCGGCGGCCGTTCGACCGCCCCAGATCTCATCCCCGAGGTGCCGATCCTGGGCCGCTGGGCGGCGTTCAACACACCTCGAACGCCCGCGGCAAGGGTCGCTGCCGCCTCGGCACGACACGACCCGCATCATGGCCCCGGCTACGATATCCACTCCACGCTAAGTCCTCACCCCCCTCTTGGACGCCCCCCACCTGAGCGACGCTCAAACAGCGGTCTTGTGCGAGATGACACGGCGACCCTACGCGGCGGCTTACGCGGGCCGCCGTCGCGGTACGTCACATCGGAGACGAGGGCGCTTACGCGCGACCTTACGCGGGCAGCTTAGGCGCCAATGTCGGCGCAGACGACCCAGTTGTTTGGCGTCGCTCGCCTGGTGTTGAGGGTGCCGCGCGCGCGCGAGCGCGGCTTTGGACGCCCGAAATGGGTGTAACAAATGGTACAATGTCCAACAACAAATGCTTGGAGGCCCCGGGAGGGGAGGGGAGGGGGTGTGGGGGTTGTCCCGTCCCCCCTGTTTTTTCAAGGGGGGGGGGGGGGCGGTTTCCGACCCCCCCCCCACCCCCTCGTTTGGGGTGTGTGGGGGGGTGGGGGAGGATTGGAAACCTCCCCGCCCCCGGCCAGTGGCGCCAGAAAGCGTTCTTTCAATGCTCTCCCAAACCGACAGCAGCCGCTGTTGAGCAGGCGGCTCTCTCGTCGTCAGCGGACAACGTCCGCGGCGGCGGGGACAGCGAGCCCTGTTCAAAACGAACAAGAACTGCTGTCGGTCTGGCAGATCCCACCCGCGACCCACCCGCGACCCAACCTTCGACCCACCCACATTGCTTGAACGAAACATCGGCGCCTGCGGCGATGATTTGTAAAGACATGGCGAGCCTGCGGCAGGCTCCCCCAGAGCCTCGCAGACTGCAGACGTCCACGCCGCCCCCATCACTCTTGTCCGCGACTGCGGGGTGCCACGTACCCATTCGTAGCCATTCCGATCGTCCCGAGCGGCCTGCCGAGGGGCGGGTAGGAGCTGAACGCCACCGCCACCTGCGGGCCGGCGTCGGGGTCCGTCGGGGCCGCCAGGAAGACCTCGCGCGGGCCGGGTCCCCGCCTCGGCGAGGCCTGTGAGCTCGGGCATCCTGCCATCGCTCGGACGCCCATTCCCCGTCCACGTTCGGGTGTCGTGCTTGTTTTGTTCGCAAGGTGGCCAAAAAATGCTCCTCGATGGCCCTCACCGAGAAAAGAGGCACACGTCCGAGCGATGCCAAAGCATCTACTGACCCGGGTCAATGCAAACCGGGTCAGTCGGGCCTTGCAGGATCCTGCAGGACCCTACAGGATCCTGCAAGATCCTGCACCCAAGCCTGGGTCAGTGCGCCCCTGACCCCCGTCTCAAGGCCACCGATTGACTCATGCCTGGACAGCTCCGGCGGTGGGTTGACCCCGCCCTCTCTCTCTCTCTCCTCCTCGGCGCCGAAGACGGTGAGCTGAGGAGGAGGAGGAGTGGGGAGGAGGAGTGGGGAGGAGGAGGAGGAGGAGGAGGAGGAGGAGGAGGAGGAGGAGGAGGAGGAGGAGGGGGAGGAGGAGGAGGAGGAGGAGGAGGAGGAGGAGGAGGAGGAGGAGTGAGAGGATGGTGATGCTGGTGATGCTGGTGATGGTGAGATGACGATGGTGATAAGATTGCCATCGCTCGGGCGTCCATTTCCTGTGCATGTTTCGGTTTCGTGCGTGCTGTTTTTGCCAGGCGATCCAGAATGCTCCTCGATGGTCCTCGCCGAAGCAAAATGCACACGTCCGAGCGACACCAATTGATGATGACGACGACGAGTATGACGATGGCGACGACGAGACGCCCAGGTAGGCGATGATCCCCAAGTTGCCCCCACACTGAAGACTGAACGACAAAAGGAAGAGAAGATGGGAGTTACCCCGACACTGAAGACTGACCGACCGCCACGAGAACATCATCCGGCGAAAAACAATATGAAATAAACTGTTTCGCCGTCGGGGGCGCCTGTCCCAGAGCGGTTGGAAAATTTGTACCCATCCGGTGGCACGTCAGGGTATAAACTTTCCAGCCGCCCGCCCCCGGTTACGGAGTAGTGTCGGTTGCACCGTTCCCCGCCCGCTAAAAACGAGATGATGGGTGTCCATCGACGGGGTGCCGTGCACACCCAGCGCCCGTCCTGCTCTGTGAGAGTGATGAGAGTTCAGCACACCCTCCTCCTGACTCCTCCTCCTCTTCCTGCTCTGCTTGCAGGACTGAAATAATGGATGTCATCCATCTACGCCGTAGGTGGCTTGCTCGGCGTGCGCGACACCGTTGAACACAAAAGGCGCCGCAGCGAGGCGGCGATGGCGGGGGCGCATTCACACGGCGAAGCGCAGACTTCCGCCCCCCGAGGCCCCCCGGCAGGCGTTTAGAATCCTGAGTGGTTCTTGAGGGCCTGGCCGCGAGAGGGCGTTACTACTTCCGATTGCGACGCCTTGCCGCCAAGAGCGAATCCGCTGCCGCAAGAAAAGTGTGTGTGTTGGTAGGGGGGAAGGGGCACCCAGGCAGCAGACCAAGGGAAGGCTCGGGACTTCCTCCTCCTCTTCCCGCCTCCTCCTCCTCCTCCTCCCCTGGCCGTGTAGAGTTGAAGCAAGTGTCCTCCTGACCTTCAAACCTATAAGCGCTTGAAAAATCCTAACTGGAACTTGAACTCAAAGGTTCAGCCTTAGGTAGGTCATGTCCTCATACAGGCGGATTGTGGAAGAACAGTTAAAACTAGACCAACCAAAGTCAACAATAGTCAAGAGAGCAAGAAAAAATCGTCACCAGACGATAATTTGACTATTCCCGAATATTCCTCCTGTAGACTGTAGAGGAACATGCCCGACTGAAGTCCAACTGCTACGCTTGCTTACTTCGTTGGCAGATCAGGGCCCCCCCTCATCTCCTCATTTTCCAAGTTGTTGCTGAGCTGGACATCCGCTAGGGATGACTCGATGCAATCTGGCATGCATGGCGACCTCACAGTCGTGGTCTCGGGGCCGTCGTCACTCGCGCCCCCTGCACTGGCCAGTCCGGCCTGCGCCCAAGTTCTACTGCTTGCGTGGCCCGCTGCAATTTGCTACATACAATGGAAGAACTAACGACAAAACTACCCCCGCCAACCCTCTGGCCAACCCTCCTGGCAGGAGAGCCCAGAATCGAATCGATAAATCGGATCGGAGATCGAAATGAATCGGATCGGGGGAAATCAGCAACCGAATCAGGAAATGTCGACTCGACGGAAACCGGCAGGCTGGAATGCCTCCCATGAGAAACGAAACCCAAATCGGAATCCCAAGTCGAATCGATTCGGAATCGGGAGCCTGCGACATCGAATCGAATCGAATCGAACCGGAGGAATCGAAATGAGCCCTGTCCTGGCCCGCCCCTCCGGCCAACCCTGGTTACACGTCGGTCAGAAGTGGACAGAAACTTGCATTGGGAAGGCTTTGAAGGTAGATTAGGCTTCCGCCCGCCTCCCGATGGCGAGGGGAGGGCGAAGACCACTCCACTCTTGGAGTAGGAAGGCGTCTGCCGCAGATTGGGACGTGGGCGTCCCAAAGGTTAAGATACGTACTTTCAACGACCGACGGGTATTGCTGCCCATCGTGAAATCCACGTTTTAACAGTCATGCGGCGAGTGCTCCTCGAGCCGAGATGGCTTACAGTGTAGGCCCGACCACAAGAAACCCTCCACAAGAAAGCCAACCCTGAGACCCCAGGGCGTCCATCGATGTTTGGCGTGGGAACGTCGTGCTCTCCATGGCAAAACCATCGAAATCCAAGAAACCCAGGGCACCCCGGAGGCAAGCAGGGTGTTTCTTGGCATGGGCTTCCACTGCACGCACGCGGGAGCCACTGCGCACGGAACGGCCGAAGACCTCTGCTATAAACCTGAGACGGTATGAAACTTTGTTGTCCCCTCTGCCCGGGTTCCTGACCGCGAGGGGGGTCATGGTCGTCCTCCCTCCCTCTCCTCTCTCGCCGAGGCATGCAAGGAAATGAGGAGGGGGGAAGATTTGTTAAGTCATCGCCCTTCGCCTTATCCCCAACGCATGGTTGGCATTCGTGCCGAAGATGGGCTGGCATCCCCCGAATCGTTACCTCCACCATCTTCCGCGCGAGTTCCGCTGGCACCCCAGTGGGACGGGAAGGGAAAATGTATGAATTACCCCTTGCCCTGTCCCAACTGCGTGGCCGGTGGGATGCAGTGGTACAGAGGGTCCGCGCTTGGGCAACAATACGCATGCGCCCATGCATGCCACACCTGACATGCACAGAAGGTAATTCCCCATAACCAAATGTCATTCGCGGCGACGACGCAACCGAAAAACCGGCCAGACCTATCGCGAAAAGGAATCCGTTCGAATCCGAATCCAAACACCTACCAGAAAAAGCCGAGGGGGAAGCGGCGACGTGGCAACAGCGTAGCGCCCTGCCGAACCGAACCGATCGAATGCGACCGACTGCGAAGCAGCCGAACCGACCGAACCGCGGACATTCTAGGTGATCCTCGTCCTCTGGCTTCCTGGTCATCCCGCGGGCCTACGGCGGCCGCTCGGGCTTCGGGCCCCCCCAGGAAGCTCTCGGCGAGGCGCAGCCGCTGGAACGCATCCCGAGGCGGGAAAACTCCCAGAACCCGCTCGCCCCTCCTCTTCTAAAGGGAAATTTAGGACACACAAATAAATACACACAAATAAAAATAGTCCCCATCTTTTCCCATATTTTCTGGGTTTTTGTCTTCCCCCCCAATTCCCATATTTTCCCATATTTTCCTGGGAATCGAGGATTAATTGTGTCTGTGTGTTTTTTTCCCTCCTGATCTTCCACCTCCTCCTCCTCCTCTGCCCTGTGAAGACTCTTGCACAGGCCTGCCCCTCTCCCCTCCCGCCCCGCCGCACCGCCGTGGGTGCCCCCGCCGCAGCCCGGTCCGTGCTGGCCCCCCCCCCCTGCCGCTCGGAGGAGGGCCAGAAGCGAGACAGCGGCGGCCCTCCCGCTCGTCCGGAGCGGCTCGGATTGAAGGGGAACTGGGACACACAAATAAATACACACAAATAAAAGTATCCCCCATATTTTCCCATATTTTCTGGGTTTTTGTCTTCCCCCCCACTTCCCATATTTTCCCATATTTTCTGGGGATCGCCGATTAATTGTGTCTGTGTGTTTCTTTCCCTCCTGACGGATCGGGGGCTCGGCGCGAAAACATGGATTGGCGATCCATGGATCGATCGGGGGAGGTGCCCTCCCCAAAATGCGGCCGGTGCCGCCTCGTTCGGCGGCGGACATCCGCGATCTCCTATGGAAACGGGACCCGTCGCTGATCCACGCCACGTTGATCCATCTTTGCGATCGCCTGAACTGCGGCCAGGCCTGGGATCAGGTCGGGCGTGTCCCCCCTACAGGTGGATTCTGGGCGAAGAATGAAGCACAGTCAAAACATGCTCAAACATAGTCGAACGAGAAATCAAACAATCGTCCCCAAACAATTGTTTGACTATTTTTGAATATTCCTGGGGCAAGCCCGACTTCAACCTAGGACAGAAATACATCCTCCAAGAACATGAGGCCCTGCGCAGGCCAGACGAGAAGAACATTCGAGGGTACCCTCTCACAGGATGCACGAGAACATGCAGCAAGCCCCAAGAACAGTAATAGAGGCCTTCTGGATGGGGTCGGAGAAGATGGGGTCGGAGAATCGCGCCGTATCGCCAATGCATCGCCGATGCATAGGCGATGCATCGGCGATGCACCAACGACGCCGGCGATGCATCGGCGACGCCAGGGTGGAGGCAATCGGGCTCCACATGGAGCCGCATCGTCGATGCATCGGCGACGCGGCGCGATCCGCTGACCCCATCTACTCGGACCCCATGCAGAAGGCCTAGACTCATACCTCGGTCCGACCGTGCTGCCTGGGTCCCGTCCTGACCCGCTCTTCGAGAAGCCACGGGGAGGCCCAGGAGGGCCACCGCTGCCTCGGCCCTTCCCCGACCGAATGGAGGCCAAACACGACAGCGAGAAACACACGGGGAGGTTGAGACGAAGCCAGGACGAGGATACATCGAGAATCTCGAGGGCTACCCTAGGGCCTACCCCTAGCCCGACCCTGGGCCTTTCCATTTATGCCTGGGCCTTGCCTCCGCTCTCCGACCCGACCCGCTCGTCAGGTCCTTCCGATCCGGCGTCGCCGTCCAGAACCCGAGAAGCATCCCTGAAGACTCTGACCCACGTCAGCGTCGTCGTCGTCGCCGCCGCCGTTGTCGTCGCAGTCCCCCTTCAGGGCCGGCGGCACCAGCTGTACAGTCGGACCTAGACCAGAAGAACATCCCTCAAGAGCATGAGACCCTCCGTCGGCCAAAACAAACATCACATCCAAGGGTACCCTCACCCGGATGCACAAGAACATCCAACGGTCACGAATGACATTACGGCAGGTTCGTGTCGTGCCGACCCCAGCGTTGTTTTTTGACACCGCAGGGATCGTTCAACCTTGAACGATCGGCCGTTCCCGCAACGTCCAATCGTTCAACATCGACCGATTCTGGGTCGCCCGCGGCGTTCAACCTTGAACGCCCGCGCTGGGGTCGCCGCTGGTCGACACGACGCAAACCTACCGTAGGGTACCCTCCCCAAAACGACCTCCATCTTCTACCTCGGTCCGACCGTACAGTCGGCCCCGATCATGAGGATGCACGGGCCCTGGAAGGCCATGACACGAAGCTTTTCGAGCGGGCACGCCCAACGAACGTGGCCAGCACGCAAGAGTGAAGGGGCCCTGGGACACACAAATAAATAGACACAAATAAAAGGATCCCCCATATTTTCTCATATTTTCTGGGTTTTTGTCTTCTCCCCCAATTCCCATATTTTCCAATATTTTCCTGGGAGTCGACGATTAATTGTGTCTGTGTGTTTTTTTCCCTCCTGAAAGAGCACCCCTTGGGGAAGCTGCCCATCCTCGGTCACCGTGCGGGTCGACTGCAAGGCCCTCGCAGCCTCTGAAATCCGACGGCTCTCGAGGCCGCAGCGGGAGCCGCCGACGGGGAGGGGCCGCCGCTGCCTCGGCCTCGGCCTCGGAGCGCCAAAGGTTCATGTGTATGGCGTCTTTTCTTCTTCGAGAGAAGAAGGAAAGGTGCCCTTCTCGCGCCCTAACGTCCCCCTTCTGGGCCCTAACGGGCCCCCTTTCTTCGGCAGCCCTCGCTGCACCCCCATGTATCGCCACCCCCACTTTCTCGCCGCCCAAAGGCGGCCGCCCCTGCCGCCGCCGGGCGGCGTGCCTTTGGGTCCTCGGGCCCCGTGACCACCAGGCGCGTCAGGGTCTTGTTCTGGGGCACCCAAGTCTCTCGGACGCACAGGTGCGCCTCCCGGAGGTCGGGCGGGGGCGAGGAGGAGGAGAGGGTCCTCCTCGCCCTCGGGCTCGTCCTCCCTTCTCCTCCTCCTCCTCCTCCTCCTCCTCCTCCTCCTCCTCCTCTCCCTCCCCCTCCCCCTCCCCCTTCCCCTCCGCCTCCGCCTCCGCCTCCGCCTCCTCCTCCTCCTCCTCCTCCTCCTCCTCCTCCTCCTCCACCTCCTCCCTCCTCCCTCCTCCTCCTCCCTCCCCCTCCCCCTCCTCCTCCTCCTCCTCCTCCCCCTCCCCCTCCCCCTCCTCCTCCTCCTCCTTCTCCTCCTCCTCCTCCTCTTCCTCCTCCTCCTCCTCCTCCTCCTCCGCCCTCCTCCTCCTCCTTCGTCCTCCGCCTCCACCTCCTCCTCCGCCTCCTCCTCCTCCTCTCCTCCTCTTCCTCTCTTTCCCTCCCTCCCTCCCTTGCTCCCTCCCTCCCTCCTCCCGTCCACCCTTCCCTCCCTCCCTCCCTCCCTGCGCCCGAGCTCGGGGCAGTCACCGAGAAGCTGCAGAAAGTTGCAGATGTGGAAGGCCCAGAATTCGATGAATTGCGGAGAAGTTGCGAGCGCGTCAGACCACCTTTTGAGGTCAGGTCACTCGCGGCAAGTCTCTGGACACGCGGCTCGAAGAAATGTCCTTTCAGCACACGAAGTTAATCAAAAAGCGGGAGCGCCAGACCGAAGTGGTCGAGGAACTCAAGCAGGGTGTGGCAGAAGCGCAGAAGGCTGTGGAGGACGCGGCCAAAGCTCTTCAGGCCACAGTCACGGAATCACGGAGTTGGAGGCTGAGCGGTGCCAGTTGGTGGCTGGCGCGCCACGGGCCCCTGAGAAGCCCATTGACGACGGCGCACAGGGGCTCAAGCAGCTCCTTGCCAGAACCTCACGGTCGAGAAGTGTGGCGAATTGCTCGAGGGCTTTGGTGGCAAGCCGGCTTTGGCGCAGAAGCTGTTCGAGTGCTTGGCAGAGGCGAAGGCATCGGAGGAACTGCACAGTACTCAGCAGCGCCGCGCCGCCGAGGAGGCGAGGCAGCGGCAGCAGCAGCAGCAACAGCAGGATGCCGAGCAGGCCGCTCAGGCTGCTGCAACTGCGAAGGCTGAGCACTGGTAGCGCTGGGAGCAAGCCACCCCGTCGGAGGCGGACGATCCAGAGGTGCTGCGAGAGTTCCTCCGCTCGGCCGAGCAGCAGGTTCCAGATGATGAAGTTGAATTGCGTGAAGCAGCCAAGAGGACGGGTGCCATGTTGTCGTCGTTCGCGAAGCGACACCAGGCTGCGTAGTTGGCAGATGGCGTTGATTGGTATGTATGCGTGTGTTCTCTGTTGTCGGCATCATGACGCGCATTGCTACTGTCAGAACTACGTCGCTCAACCCGTTTGCTGAGATATTCGAGGCCGATGCTCCTGTGCTAGGAGATGAGCAGCCTATCATGTGCGTACAGGAGCATCGCGTCACGGCTGCGAAGATGGGATCATTTCAAGGACGCATGAGCGCGGTTGGCTACCACGGTGCGTGGGCCCCAGCCAAGGAGACTGGCCACGGGCATGGCACAAGCGGTGGCGTGGAGGTGATTGCGCCGAAGAAGGTGCAGGTGGCGGCTGGGCCGTTGCTGGCAGACACCAAAGGTGTGCTGCTGGGCAAGAGACTTGTTGCCGCGCTAGTGCACACTTGGTTCAAAGGAGGCTTCGTGGCAGTGTCAGCTTATCTGCACGTCAGCGAAGATGGGACATAATACTATGACATTGCTCACGATGTTGGCTCAGTATCTGCTCAGAGTGCGAGCGCTTGGGTATGAGTGGATTGTTGCAGCTGGCTACAGCATTGACCGCGCTCTGATGCAGCCATGGGCGACTTCTATAGGAGGAGTTCTGGTGGCGCCGTCTGCGCCCACATGTATTCAGAGTGCACCAGGTACGGCGATTGATCACTTCATCATGTCCGAGGGGTTCGCCGTCCGTTCTGGAGTGATTGAAGTGGTGGACACTGCGACGATCTGGCCACATAGGCCTGTGCTGATGCAAGTTCTCTCCAAAGACAGCCTTGTGGTGCCGAAAAGGTGATCAACCAAAATCTCTTCCTGCACTGGCCAAGCCAGGTTGTGGGCGGTTTCCGCGTGATTGGAAGCAGTTTCATGATGATAATCAAATACCACGACAGCTGATCAGTTGGTAGGTTTCTGGGACTCAGCGATTCAGGGTATCGAGGCTGAGCTTTTGGACCGACATGATGCTGTTGGACCCCGTCGCCACGGTTGCGAAGGCAGAGCGGGAGAGCACCAAGTTCGTTGGAAGAAGCTCCGCGAAGTCCCACAGCATCGACAGCCTCGACCCTCGCGCGAGTGTGCAGCGTGGAGTGCAGCGGCCAGGTGGGCCAGGCATCTGCGTTGTGTGCGAATCGTGCTGGAGTCGTGCACTCCCAACCTTGACGCGGACTTGGACGAGCAGCCGAGGAGGTTGAAGCGCGTTGCCAAGGGCCTGATCGACACCGACGCCTTCCCAGGCAGGATCCAGAGGCTCGACTGGGTGTTCGCCCACCTCGACGTGCTGACGGCGAGGATTTTCAGGTCTGGAATGGATGTGATAGGTGATCCGTCTACGCCCGATTTGATTGAGCGAATTTTGTCCCTGGCCCAGGAAAAGGAGGCCGTGTTGTTGGCCAGCAAAGAGGAAGCCTGGAAGTCCTGGGTCAGGGAGGCGTTCCAGGACGGGGCCAAAGCTGCCCATCGTTTTACCAGGGTCCGTGGAATCCAAGAGGTGCTCACCGAGGAGCATCGGATCCAACCTCTCGAGCTTGCCGGCGATACGTGCCGCGGATGGTCCCAAAAATTTGGGCCATTCATGCTTGCGACGATTTGGAAGTGCCGAGCGATTCGAAGGATCGGGCGAGCCTGCCGCCGCCCGGGGCTCTCTGCAGTGGTCGGGTCCCGACCCTGCGCGAGGTAAGGTGGTCCTTGCTGCGGCTAGGGGGTTATGTCATCTTGTGCGACCGACTGGCCTTCTGTTGCAACCCAAGAAGTCGGGGGCTGTAGCCGCCAGCTTGGTCGTTTCCAAGCATGCGGCAATGTCGGCCAAGCTGATGGGAATGCGAGGATATGATCACATGCGGTACCTTTGTCATAATTTGTTCGGCAGGCGTGCCCTCCGAAAGGTGGAGGCCAAGAGGCGAGTTGCGCTGGTTAGGAGGAAGCACCGTATCCAAGTGCTTAAGAAGTCTGCGGGCACCAAGGTTGCTGGCTTGTGGCGAACAGGCCTCATGGCCAGCGGAGGCCACGGGGCCTCGGTATCAGGAGCAACCAATGACACGCTCCGAACTCTCAGGGCCTTAGCTGGGAGCCTTATGGGGGCGGGTGGTGCTTCTCACGTCACTGGATTCTTGTATACCCACAAGGGTCCCAACTTTGACCCCATAGTCGATGCTACGACCCCGCTAGTGTTCAGATATTGCTGCTGGGTCTGGGATCGGAAAGCGCCCGATTCTGACCTGCGAGTTGCCTGCTCGGCGGCTCGAGCTCGTTTGCGTGATCGCCCTCGCTGGGATCGCTTTCAGGGACCTATAGGGGCGGTCATTTTATCGTTGCGGTGAGTTGGGTGGGATTTAATTTCTCAACATCGACTCAGGACGGACCGGATGTCAAGCAGCGTTTGCGCGAGGGCACCAGTCGCGCCCAAGTGCGCCAGATTTTGGAGGCGACTCCCGAGGCTTGCGGTGATGAGCTTGTCTGGGGGCGCGCGCTCAGATTAGGGATAGTGGCCGTTAAGGACCCTCCTAGGCAAGCGGCCCTGAGAGGCCTGATCAGCGGGAAACTTTGGCCGCCAGCCAAGAAGCATCAACATGGCTACGTAGCCGGCCCCAAGTGCGAATTCGGTTGCGATGCTCTTGGCACTTTCGGTCACCAGTGGTATGAGTGCAAACGAGTCTGGGAGCCCAGTGATGACCCAGCCGAGGCATCCCTGTTTCCAGACGACGTGATTGGGCATGTGAATTGGCTGCGGGACAAAGCGAAAGGTATTCTCCCCGACTTCGACACTCTGGAGTTGGCGCATGGTGTTCCTCTCCTCCCCATCAACATTGCTCCTATCCCAGCCAAATATTCTGCCAAATTCTGGGGTGCCACGAACATGCCGTGAGGCTTCCAACTTTTTACCGACGGTTCTGGCCTTTCGAACGGTCTACCCGAAGCTTGCCGCTGCGGGTGGGCCGTGGTCGAGCTCAGTCCTGGGGGCTGGCCATTTCGGGCGTGTTTTGGGCCTCTTCCAAGGGCCATCCAGACCGTCCCCAGGGCCGAAAGGTATGCGTTGCTGCAGGCGGTCCGCCTCGGCCCGAAAAGAGTTGATATGATCAGTGATCACCTCTCTGCGGTGCAAGAGGCATCGAGCTGGTCTGCCGAGCTGGCTACAGGTTGTCACAAGCATGCGTGCATCTGGCGAGGGTTGTTTCAGTTGTGTCCAGCAGGAGCTCCGCCCAATGAGAGGCCCCGAGTCCACTGGACCCCAGCCCACGGGGACCTCGACTCCCTCTTGTTTGGCCAGTGCGCTTCGAGCCTGGATCGAAAAGTGGACACTGCGGTTTTCGATTATCTGGGCAACATGTGGGCCGATTTCCTTGCTAAGCTGGGGGCGAAGCAACATGCCATTGCTAACATCGCCGCCGCCACTTTGAAAGCGCATGTGAAGGACGTGAAAACGACGTGCCGATTTCTGGGTCAGGTCGCTCAATGTGTCGCGTCTCGAGCTGATTCCGCTTTTCCATGTCTGCGAGGCCCTGCCGTAACCCATTGGCGGTGCCTCAGCTGTCCCTCCTCTCTCAGGACCTCGAGGTGGCGGAGAATGGGTGGGTGAGATGTACGTGGTGCCACTGCTCCGGCAAGACTTCGCTCTCTCGAGCAAAGCTTGAGCAGCCTGGCAATAAGTGCGAGCACGCGCCGCTCCACTTGTATCTCGCCGCTGTTAGAGCCGAGCGTCACAGTGGCCTCCTCCCTGGGGCGCGTAGTGA